GCAGTACAAGTATTTAGCAGCGTCGTGGTCTGTAGTGCAGTGCAAGTATTTAGCAGCGTCGTGGTCTGTAGTGCAGTACAAGTATTTAGCAGCGTTGTGGTCTGTAGTGCAGTACAAGTATTTAGCAGCGTTGTGGTCTGTAGTGCAGTACAAATATTTAGTTAGTCAGCGTCATAGGTCTGTAGTGCAGTACAAGTATTTAGCAGCGTTGTGGTCTGTAGTGCAGTTACAAGTATTTAGCAGCGTCGTGGTCTGTAGTGCAGTACAAGTATTTAGCAGCGTCGTCTGTAGGTCTATTTAGTACAGTACAAGTATTTAGCAGCGTCGTGGTCTGTAGTGCAGTGCAAGTATTTAGCAGCGTCATGGTCTGTAGTGCAGTGCAAGTATTTAGCAGCGGTGTGGTCTGTAGTGCAGTACAAGTATTTAGCAGCGTTGTGGTCTGTAGTGCAGTACAAGTATTTAGCAGCGTTGTGGTCTGTAGTGGTACAAGTATGTAGCAGTACAAGTATTTAGCATCGTCGTGGTCTGTAGTTCAGTACAAGAATTTAGCAGTGCCATGGTCTCTAGTTCAGTATAAGAATTTAGCAGCGTTGTGGTCTGTAGTGCAGTACAAGTATTTAGCATCGTCGTGGTCTGTAGTGGAGTGCAAGTATTTAGCAGCGTCATGGTCTGTAGTGCAGTACAAGAATTTAGCAGCGTTGTGGTCTGTAGTGCAGTGCAAGGTATTTAGCAGCGTCGTGGTCTGTAGTGCAATACAAGTATTTAGCAGCGTCCTGGTCTGTAGTGCAGTACCAGTTTTCAGCAGCATCGTGGTCTGTAGTGCAGTACAAGTATTTAGCAGCATCGTGGTCTGTAGTGCAGTTCATGTTTTGAGCAGCGTCCTGGTCTCTAGTGCAGTACAAGTATTTAGCAGCATCGTGGTCAGTAGTGGAGTACAAGTATTTAGCAGTGTCGTGGTCCGTAGTGCAGTACACATATGTAGCAGCGTTGTGGTCTGTAGTGCAGTACGGGAATTTAGGAGACTCGTGATCTGTAGTGCGGTACAAGAATTCAGGAGACTTGTGGTCTGTAGTGCGGTACAAGAATTTAGCAGCGTTTTGGTCTGTAGTGCAGTGCAAGTATTTAGCAGCGTCCTGGTCTGTAGTGCAGTACAAGAATTTAGCATCGTCGTGGTCTGTATTGCAGTACAAGGATTTAGCGTGATCGTGGTCTGTAGTGCAGTACAAGTATTTAGCATCGTCGTGGTCTATAGTGCAGTACACGAATTTAGCAGCGTCGTGGCCCGTAGTTCAGTACAAGTATTTAGCATCGTCGTGGTCTGTAGTGCATTGCAGGTATTTAGTAGCGTCATGATCTGTAGTGCAGTACAAGAATTTAGCAGCGTTGTGGTCTGTAGTGCAGTGCAGGTATTTAGCATCGTCGTGGTATGTAGTGCAGTGGAGGTATTTAGCAGCGTTGTTGTCTGCAGTGCAATACAAGAATTTAGCAGCGTTGTGGTAGGTAGTGAAGTATAAGAATTTAGCAGCGTTGTGGTCTGTAGTGCAGTACAAGTATTTAGCAGCGTCCTGGTCTGTAGTGCAGTACCAGTTTTTAGCAGCATCGTGGTCTGTAGTGCAGTACATGAATTTAGCAGACTCTTTGCATGTAGTGGGTTACCAGTATTTAGCAGTGTCGTGGTCTGTAGTGCAGTACAAGTATTTAGCATCGTCGTGGTCTGTAGTACAGTGCAGGTATTTAGCAGCGTTGTGGTCTGTAGTGCAGTACAAGTATTTAGCATAGTCGTGGTCTGTAGTACAATGCAAGTATTTAGCAGCGTCATGGTCTGTAGTGCAGTGCAAGTATTTAGCAGCGGTGTGGTCTGTAGTGCAGTACAAGTATTTAGCAGCGGTGTGGTCTGAAGTGAAGTACAAATATGTAGTAGCGTGATAGCCTGTATGGCACATGGTTTAGCAGCGTGTGGTCTGTAGTTCAGTACAAGAATTTAGCAGCGCCGTGGTCTGTAGTGCAGTACAAGAATTTAGCAGCGTTGTGGTCTGTGGTCTGTAGAGCAGTACACGTATTTAGCATCGTCGTGGTCTGTAATGGATTGCAGGTATTTAGTAGCGTCATGATCTGTAGTGCAGTACAAGAATTTAGCAGCGTTGTGGTATGTAGTGCAGTGCAGGTATTTAGCAGCGTTGTTGTCTGTAGTGCAATACAAGAATTATCAGCGTCCTGGTCTGTAGTGCAGTACCAGTTTTTAGCAGCATCGTAGTCTGTAGTGCAGTACAAGTATTTAGCAGCGTCGTGGTCTGTAGTCCAAGTCAAGTATTTAGCATCGTCGTGGTCTGTAGTACAGTACAAGTAATTAGTAGCGTTGTGGTCTGTACTGCAGTGCAAGTATTTAGCAGCGGTGTGGTCTGTAGTCCAAGTCAAGTATTTAGCATCGTCGTCGTCTGTAGTACAGTACAAGTATTTAGCAGCGTTGTGGTCTGTACTTCAGTGCAAGTATTTAGCAGCGTCGTGGTCTGTAGTCAAAGTCAAGTATTTAGCATCGTCGTTGTCTGTAGTACAGAAGTAATTAGCAGCGTTAGCATCGTCGTGGGTCTGGTAGTGCAGTACAAGTATTTAGCAGCGTCGTGGTCTGTAGTGCAGTACAAGTATTTAGCAGCGTCGTGGTCTGTAGTGCAGTGCAAGTATTTAGCATCGTTGTGGTCTGTAGTACAAGTGCGTCGTGGTCTGTAGTACAGTACAAGTATTTAGCAGCGTCCTGGTCTGTAGTGCAGTACCAGTTTTTAGCAGCATCGTGGTCTGTAGTGCAGTACAAGTATTTAGCAGCATCGTGGTCTGTAGTGCAGTTCATGTTTTGAGCAGCGTCCTGGTCTCTAGTGCAGTACAAGTATTTAGCAGCATCGTGGTCAGTAGTGGAGTACAAGTATTTAGCAGTGTCGTGGTCCGTAGTGCAGTACACATATGTAGCAGCGTTGTGGTCTGTAGTGCAGTACGGGAATTTAGGAGAGATCTGTAGTGCGTGATTCAGTAGTGTGGTCTGTAGTGCGGTACAAGAATTTAGCAGCGTCGTGGTCTGTAGTGCAGTGCAAGTATTTAGCAGCGTCCTGGTCTGTAGTGCAGTACAAGAATTTAGCAGCGTCGTGGTCTGTAGTGCAGTACAAGTATTTAGCATCGATCGTGGTCTGTAGTGCAGTACAAGTATTTAGCATCGTCGTGGTCTGTAGTGCAGTACAAGTATTTAGCATCGTCGTGGTCTATAGTGCAGTACACGAATTTAGCAGCGTCGTGGCCTGTAGTTCAGTACAAGTATTTAGCATCGTCGTGGTCTGTAGTGCAGTACAAGTATTTAGCAGCGTCGTGGTCTGTAGTGCAGTGCAGGTATTTAGCAGCGTCTTGGTCTGTAGTGCAGTACAAGAATTTAGCAGCGTTGTGGTCTGTAGTGCAGTGCAGGTATTTAGCAGCGTTGTTGTCTGCAGTGCAATACAAGAATTTAGAAGCGTTGTGGTCGGTAGTGAAGTATAGGAATTTAGCAGCGTTCTGGTCTGTAGTGCAGTACAAGTATTTAGCAGCGTCGTGGCATGTAGTGGAGTACAAGTATTTAGTAGTGTCCTTGTCAGTAGTGGGTTACCAGTATTTAGCAGTGTCGTGGTCTGTAGTGCAGTACACATATTTAGCAGCGTTGTGGTCTGTAGTGCAGTACGAGAATTTAGGAGACTCGTGATCTGCAGTGCAGTACAAGAATTTAGGAGACTCGTGGTCTGTAGTGCGGTACAAGAATTTAGCAGCGTTGTGGTCTCTAGTGCAGTACAAGTATTTAGCAGCGTCATCGTCAGTAGTGCAGTACAAGTATTAAGAGCATTGTGGTCTGTAGTGCAGTACATGAATTTAGTAGACGCGTGGTCTGTAGTGCAGTACAAGAATTTAGCAGCCTTGTGATCTGTAGTGCAGTTCAAGTATTTAGCAGACTCCTGGTCTGTTGTGCAGTACAAGACTTTAGCAGACTCGTGGTGTGTAGTGCAGTTCAAGAATGTAGCAGCGTCCTGGTCTGTATTGTAGTTCAAGTATTTAGCAGCAGCATGGTCTGTAGTGCAGTGCAAGTATTTAGCAGCAGCATGGTCTGTAGTGCATTGCAAGTATTTAGCAGCGTCCTGGTCTGTAGTGCCAATATTTAGCAGCGTCGTGGTCTATAGTCCAGTTGAGGAATGTTGCAACGCCTGGTCTGTAGTGAAGTAGCGGAGTGCAGTCACTCGACGATATATAGCTGATGAGACGTTCAGTAATACTGACTGACTGAGTATGATTTTACGCCGTTTTTAGCAATATTCCAGCAATATCAAGGCGGGGGACACCAGAAATGGGCTTCACAAATTGTACCCATGTTGGGAATCGAACCCGGGCCTTCGGCGTAACGAGCGAACGCTTTAACCACTAGGCTACCCCACCGCCCCCGTTCAGTAAGAACTCGCTCACTGTAGTGCAGTAAGAGTATTTAGCAGCCTCGATCGTGATCTTTAGTGGTGTGCAAATATTTAGCAGCATCGTGTTCTATAGTTCAATGTAAGTATTTAGCAGCGTCGTCGTCTATTTTAAAGTAATTAAAGTAATTTAAGCTGGACTTGCCCTTGTCCTTACGGCTATATGAGTGGCCATACATTGTCAAGGTGAATATAATCACACTCCTATCTGCATTAACCTAGCTGCACCTTGAGCGACCTTTGAATTAGGTAATAAAGAAAGTTTCGGAATTCCTAGCAGTTATCAGCACGCCGCTTCATAGTAGTTACTGTAATGCTTGATACCATACCACCCCGTAGGCATTCCTACCATCGCCTGTGGTATAATAACCTATATTAATCACTCATAATTCCGTCCAATACTTATCCGACAGATAATTACCGTCACATGGTAAAAACTTGAGCCGGAGGGGCGTTAACTTCCTTATTAGGAAAGTTTACCGTCAGCTCACTGCTGATTGGTTCAAATGCGTCGTCTGCTAGCTATCTTGCGAGCTCATTTATTGATCTCGGTGATGTCACTGGGCGAAGACTGCAAGGATTGTCGTTGCGAGTAAAGACGGGAGCATTTGTTGAAAGAAGCCGGTGTCGTACCTGGGAAATTACCGAGTCTGTTGGAGAGCACGGCGACTTGTACCTATCAACCTCTAGACATCGCTCCCGTCTGTCGTCTGCCCGCTCTCACTTGGTGACCAGACGAAATATACGACTTCTCGCCTTGAAGCTCAAACACTCGTCTGTGTTGATATTCACAAACGAGCAGTATGTCGACCAAACTGGACAAAGATGACGTTAGGGCCGCCTATGAAGACGTGAGAGACGATGCATCAGCTACCCTTTGGTGAGTCAAACTCTGACAACCGCTTCGCCATATGTTCAAAAATGTCGTAATCCTTGTTCAACGATCAATCTGTAATCTGATCCTAATCTGCTTTATCAGCTTAAATCTTTCTTTTAACATTTGCTTGAAATATTTAGTTTGTTGCGTGTTGTTTTGTTAATCGATTTTTGCATCGTGTCTGTAAACTTGTTGTGGGTACCTGAATAAAGGCACACCCACCAACCTGATACTTTAGCGGTGTCTCATTAGTACAGGGGTGTTTTAGCAGGAGTTTTGACTTTTGCAGGGCTGTGTTCAAATATGAAGGGAATACTATTCAGAGGAGCGCTACTGGGGATGATTACGGAGAGTTTCAATCACAGTTCGGAGGTAGGCTACAATAATATGAATAAATACCGCATCTCATGTCATTATAATACAAGTATGTTGTCACAATGGTAACACAGTCAGAATAACTGTAATGCTGGTTTAATAAAGTGTATAATTGAGAATACAAATTTTCAAAGGTCGTTAACACCATATGCCACTATGCCTGTTATTACTCTGCATGACGTACAGATGCTAATTGTTTGCATACGTTATTCCATCGTTTACTTTGCATCATTTGCGTTGTGCTCTCGCTTATATGAATGACCATGACTTTTGCGTAGAGTATGCTATTCACTTTTCGTTTTATTTTTATTTTGTCATTGTATATTTTGTTTCTATTCGGTATTCGATGTATATTTATTTCAGATGATGAAAGGGCGTTTGGTTTTATTCGTATAACTACGGGCGACGAATTGAGCAAACGATCAAAATTTGCTCTTGTCACGTGGGCCGGTTCCCTTTTATCAGCATTAAAGCGAGCGAGGCTGAGCACGGACAAATCCCTTATAAAACAAGTCATCCAAGTATGTATTAATGAGACGTTTCACCAATGACTTTAACCCTTGTTATGACATTTCTTTACACAACTCACGACAAAACAAATTAAGAGCACGGCGTCTGCATCAGTCTGTGTGTATAAGGGCATCCCGTGCACTCGTTAACTTGCAAAAGTGCAGTGGACTTTCCACAAATTATCTCTCAGGTGTTCATGTGTTGAGACGTGTGTCACAGAAATTGACAGGTGAGTTATACACGGCACACAATATGAGGCTGGTGACACGGGACTGGTGCCTATAACCCCGGCCCGGTGCTGCATTGTATCTATGTATTTCACATATATGAACATTTAAATGCATTATGCATTTATCGTCCTCGAAGTTTACTATGGAATACAGGCCGATACTCTTTCACACCATGTATACTCTCCCAAAAAGAAACGCATATAGGAATTTCAACTGTATTTTTATGTTTATTTTGAAACATCTTGTAGGCTTTATGAGTCAATGAAATATAGCGAAATTGCACACTGGGAATGCAGACTTATCCGTCTTTGGCACCAGCTCGAGGAAAGTCAGTTTGAGTATCACATGGAGACGTGTGGTGGCGCTGAAGTCAGTACCTCGTGTGACCACCGTGGGCATCCAGAACTGCACGGCATCGCCTCGGCATCGAACGAATAAGTCTCAGTATCTCGTGTTGCCCAATCGCAGCCCACTCTGCCTGTAGTGCCTGTGCGAGTTGCTGAAGTGTCGGGCTGAGGGTTACGGCGTCGCACCCGTCTGTCCAGGGCATCCCACAGATGTTCGATCGGGTTTAAGTCCGGTGATCTTGAGGGCCAGGGGAGCACATTGATGTTGTGGTCCTGGAGGAAGTCTCTAGTGTGACGTGCTGTGTGGGGCCTGGCATTGTCCTGTTGAAACAACTCCCTCTTGCGATCAATGATTGGAAGGAGGTGTGGGCGTAGGATTTCGTCACAGTACCGTTGAGCTGTCAGGTTGCCCTGGATCATCACCAAATCACTTCTTCTACGGCAGGTGATCGCTCCCCACATCATAACACCGCCCCGGCCGAATCTGTCCACCTGGGGAACGCAAGCGTCGGCGAAACGTTCACGTCGACGTCTGTACACCCGCATTCTTCCATCGCGTCGTTCCAATAGAAATCGTGATTCATCACTGAACCAGATTCTACGCCAATTCGGTAGGTTCCAGGCCTGAACGTTGGTGCACCATTGAACTCGATGTCGACGATGTTGTTGTCGAAGCACAGGGCCAAAATAAGGTCTTCTGGCACGTAAACAAGCCTCTCTCAACCTGTTCCTGACGGTCTGTGCAGAAAGCCTCCTCAATCCGGGTATTTGTCGAGCGGTACTGGTCGCCGTAGCTGTTCGATGACGCAGGTGATGTACCCGGATGTAGCGATCCTGCGCCGCAGGGGTCGCTCGAGGTCGCCCACTTCGAGGGGCATCTGCTACCGCATTCTGCCGGCGATATCTCTCCCAGAGCCGTGAAATGGTGCTTTAGTGAACATTCATGCGTCGGGCAACTGCACGTTGAGACTGGCCAGCTTTAAGCAAACAAATGGCGATATGACAGTTGGCTTCACTTAGACGTGGCATTTTGCGTTCGTCAACAATATTCCAAATACAGTGAATAATCGACAGACAGCGATCAACCTTTTATACCCATCATTGAGACTATCCCCAACTTTCACGTGCATTGCATGTGAATTGTGTATTCTGTGACACTACACGCCGAAATTGAAAATCATGCTGTTAAATACGGGTATTTTACGGATGGTGCGTTTTGTTGTGATGTTTCAAAACATAAACACCATAGGACTCATAAACAGAGCAAAACCTTTTGTAAAATGAATCACGTTTTAATTCATTGCTTACATGAAATTGCTGTCTTCATGATGCGTTTCTTTTTTGGGAGAGTATATATTTCAAACCACGGCGTTCTTTATGTAACGTATAAACATATCTTGTTTCTTTTTTCCTATGTTGCATGACGATATAACGTATACTGCGATACCGCTTTGACGTTTCCATAGTAACACGCGGGCATATCAGTGAATTTCCACCCCAGCTTTCTCCTATCCTCTCCAGGGCATCCTACCCTACGTATCCTACCTTTCTTATATTAGGCTTTCATTTGGACGTTCTTATGTGACACGGGTGTTGGGGTAGCCGAGTGGTTAAAGCGTTCGCTGGTCACGCCGAAGACCCGGCTTCGATTCCCACATGGGTACAATATGTGAATCCCATTTCTAGTGTCCCCCGCCGTAATATTGCTGGAATATTGCTAAAAGCGGCGTAAAACTAAACTCACTCATTCAAGAAGACACAGGGATAGATCGCCTCCTCATTTCAGTGTTCTAACATGGATATATTCGATCCTCATTTTGACTTTCGTATCTTCCAGTTCTTGGCGTATATGTATAGCATATGTACTCCCCATGCCTTCATTCTCGCTGACGTATCCTGTGTCACCTACTGATAAATCCGTACTCCAAATGCCTTCATTTCTCCCTGACGTATGCTGTGTCACATCCGTACTCCCCATACTTTCATTCTCGCTGACGTATGCTTTGTCACATACTGTCACATCCGTACTCCCAATACTTTCATTCTCGCTGACGTATCCTGTATCACATACTGATAAATCCGTACTCCACAATGCCTTCATTTTCCCTGACGTATGCTGTGTCACATCCGTACTCCCCATACTTTCATTCTCTCTGACGTATGCCTTCATTTCTCGCTGACGTATCCTGTGTCACATACTGATAAATCCGTACTCCAAAATGCCTTCATTTTCCCTGACGTATGCTGTGTCACATCCGTACTCCCCATACTTTCATTCTCGCTGACGTATGCTTTGTCACATACTGTCACATACCAATACTCACATTCTCGCTGACGTATTCCCAATCACCTACTGATAAATCCTCCTGAATGTATTCATTTCTCCTGACGTATGCTGTCACATCCGTACTCCCCATACCTTCATTCTTGACATATCTCCTGACACATCCATACTCTTCCTTCATTCTCCCTATCGTATGCTGTGTCACATACTGTCACATCCGTATTCTGTATCACTCCTGTCAATACCTTCCTTCATTCTCCCTGACGTATTCTGTATCACATACTGTCACATCCGTACTCCCAATATGCTTTTCATTCTCCTGACGTATTACTGTATTCACATATGCTGTCACATCCATAAATCCATCCCAATACCTTCATTCTCCCACATATTCTGTATGTCACATCTACATGGCCTTCATTCTCCCAGATATGCTCTGTTCAGACTTTTCAGATAGCCAACGTTGGCAATGGTTTTGCCAACATTGCCAACGTTGGGCCAACGTCCGAATGCTATCTGGGATTCTGTGTCACACACGGATGCATCCCACACCCCATGCCTTCATTCTCCCCGAGTCTTCTGCTTGATATACAGTCCATCATCCCGACAATTCCATGCCTAACCAACCATTGACATTTGCTATGCACCACGTATACCTACGCTATACCCACGCATTGATGCGTGTCATACACGTGTCTTTAGATTGATATAGAATTGAATATATTTTGGGTAGACTTTTTGTATTGAACACTGAGTTCACAATTTCATAAAATATGTTAACGATCCCTAACATAATTGATGTGATGAAATAATCCAGCAGAATACTGAATGTTAAAGAACTCTGTATGAGATGTGGCTTTGCATGGTCACTTGTACGTAGTATTTTTAAAAGGTCATTCAGGTTAGAGGGCCTTTGCCCTGCTGTCGTTGGGACGTTGTCCATGTGTCACGTGAGACCTAATGTATATCATATCTATAACACAATAGGGTATCACGTGACAGTCGATAGAGTCCGAGGTATAAATGATGTAGTCCATTACAACAGATACGGGTCAATAGTTCACTGACAGTACATGAGACTGCACGTGGTTACATTTCACAGAGCATTTCAAAGTCAAATACACTGAAGTTGCCACAGTGTGCCTTGATTAAAACAGGGTCCCACATTTTAGGCCGTTATCGCGGGAGATAAATACAGATTATTTCGTTTATGTTACATACAAACAGGGTCGATGATGTAGGAAACTTGTCAGGCCAATCTGATATGTCTACACACTTATTGTTGAAACACCTTGAAAGTTAATTAACAATCAATATATGAGTCGGTTATATCTTTGATCTCACGGAATTTTTCCAGGATAATTGTCAGGCTCATTTAATGTGTAGTGCAAATCCCTTGTCGATTCTCTATGTTTTTTTAACCTGGTAACCCCGCGCCTTAAGGACAGTACTGTAACCTACGTGTATAAAGAGTGAGTGAGTGAGTTTAGTTTTTCGCCGCTTTTATCAACATTCCAGTAATATGACGGTGGATGACACCATAAATGGGCTTCACACATTGTACCCATGTGGGGAATCGAACCCAGGTCTTCGGCGTGACGAGCGAACGCTTTAACCACTGGGCTACCCCACCGTCCCCGTATATCAGGAACTGACGGATATATAACGAACTGTTTTTGCGGGTCTTTGCTGCATATGATGTTTATTGTTGACAACAGTAATGAACTAAAATTGGTGGTCCCTTTTAGTTTGTTATAACGGTAGTTCATTGCATGTCAATTTATTCCGGGTCTAAATGCTTATCCGCCTGGACAATATAGAAGTTAAATATAGGAGACTCTTTATGGAGGGGCGGTGGGTAGCCTAGTGGTTAAAGCGTTCGCTCGTCATGCTGGACTCTTTATGGTGGGGCGGTGGGGTAGCCTAGTGGTTAAAGCGTTCGCTCGTCATGCTGAAGAGTGAAGACCTGGGTTCGATTCCTCACATGGATACAATGTTTGAAGCCCATTTCTGGTGTCCCCGCCGTGATGTTGCTGGATTATTACTAAAAGCGGCGTAAAACTAAACTCATTCACTTTATGGAACTGACAACGTTCATACTGCATGTGCTATGGCGACATACGTGACGTTGATTATGACTACGTGATTATAACATGCTAGGGGTTTGGGTACGGTTCGCGGTTGGAAGTGATAACATGGAATCAATAGATTGCGGTATACACTAGTTTGCACTATACGTGTAAGAATAACGATGCGCCTGGTCAACACATAGTGGTAGTGGTTGTGTTGGTTTTCCTGGTGCACCTAGAGTGCCCAAAAGAGGCCACGGGTTGGACGCTGTTCGTTGTCTTCTCTGGACCATGCAGGCTTTAGATGGTAGCCATGATCACCTGGCATGGATTAAGTTAAAGATATGAACATCAGTAATTAATGAGTGGCATAGATGCACAGCTCATTAAGGATGGCTAACAGTCAAGGTACAGTGGGGATTTACAGTGGGATTAATGTCATATAAATAAATAATGGCTGTTAAGTGATGAAGACATATACCTGTCGTGCCCACTTGGTGATTAGCCTTTGGAATTTAATGTTCACTGGAACATTGCTTTTCCTGAATCGGTCGCTATGAGGAAATATTTGGAGGTTGTCTGTCTGTCGGTCTGTCCAGAGATATTTCTGCGTAAGAAATGGCACGGGAAAAGATACCTATGGTTGTCGTTAAAACTGAATTAGTTGCAATGGATTTGAAACCTCCATGGTCGCACCTATTAAACGTAGATTTCTACCAGTGTATAAAGGGTTGGGAGTAGATCTTTACGTGTTCCCCTGTCACACTGAAGAGAAGGGTTCGATTCCTCACACGACCTTTACGCAGACCGGCGTCAACCAGTCGTGTTGTTGACGTCTGACGCGGCGCAATTAACAATAATCGATCTGTTAAACGCGATGAGCTACTCTACACTGCAGATCTAAGCCTACTGTTTACCAGATACAGATCAGGTTTCCTGGTTACGGCAGTGTTGAAGTATGGGGAAATACTAACGCCGTGTATTGTAGTTCATGACAAAGTGTTAGCAGTTTAACCAAAGCATTGTGAAAATAGATCTTTGTTTAGAATGAGGAAGATCATAAACAAATGCGTTAACGTGTTCTTTGTTTCCGCCTATCGATTTGGCTTTAAAACCAAATATGAATAATGATTCTTATTTTGGAATGTTTATGCATAAACTTTTCCTGGGGCGGTGAAGGTAGCCTTGTGGTTAAAGCGTTCGCTCGTCCCGCCGAAGACCCGGGTTCGATTCAATGTGTGGAGCCCATTTCTGGTGTCCCCCCAGGTGATATTGCTGGAATATTGCAAAAAGCGGCGTAAAATACTACTCAGTCACTCACTCACTCTGGACGTCCTTCCTGCTTGAAGCTAATAGGTCATGACGTAACTGACTAGTACTAGTACTACCCTTAATACTAGTATTAAACTCAATCACTTATGTATTTATCAACATCCCATTGCACCATGAGCATGTATTCGTGGATGGACGTTAGCGCCTGTAAGAAATAACCGTTATTAGTTTTATCATTATATCATTGCAGAACTTTGCCGTGGAAATCATGACCTCTGAACAGGACGAAATCAGAATAGAGTACATCACGGATGAAGTGAAGAAAGCAGGCGGAGCCAACTATGGAACTGGTCAATGATGACAAAGAACTTAGTGCAGTTGAACAGTTCTGACTATGTTAAATGTGAATCGCAATGGTTGAAACTGTGGATTATGAGTAGAGATCTTTAAAGACTGGAATAGTGCGGTGTCTTTGACAACTGTCCCGTGTGTCTGGGGATTATTGGAACATATGTTCTGTGGCAGCAGGATGGAGAATTGGGGGACAGATTTTGAAGAGGCCGCATCTGGATCCACCTCTCCACATCTCAAACTCCCAACGTTCAGTCATTTTCTCTTAAATATTTTTAGTAATATATTCCGTACAAACTAAATATACTTAATGTTGTATTGTAAACCCAGATTAACTTGTAGACTTAATTTTCGTATACAGTTTGTTACTTTTTCAAGTGTAACCATGGAGAAACAGGATTACCACCTCCGTGCAATTAAGAGCTGACTCAGCAATGCAATGTATACACGAAGACCACCTATGCAATGACTTCATGCAGTCACATCATGTGTTCAACCATTGACAGGAGAATCCAGAAAGCTGATCAAACTGCGACTTCTTACAACCGCTATGGTATTGATTCAAACAGATTTCATGCATACACCATCAGCTATATTATATATGGCCTCAAACATCTGCCTTACTGTGTATGCATGACAAATGGTAAAAGTCTTTATTTCTAAAGTATGTCATGTCATTTGGGGGCACGAAGGGCTTGTCTTAAGTGCGACAACTGTCTGTGCTGAGTTATCCCAGGTAGACACTGTCTGTGTTGAGTTATCCCAGGTAGACACTGTCTGTGCTGAGTTATCCCAGGTAGACACAGTGCTGAGTTATCCCAGGTAGACACTGTCTGTGCTGAGTTATCCCCGGTAGACACTGTCTGTGCTGAGTTATCCCCGGTAGACACTGTCTGTGCTGAGTTATCCCAGGTAGACACTGTCTGTGTTGAGTTATCCCAGGTAGACACCGTCTGTGTTGAGTTATCCCAGGTAGACACTGTCTGTGCTGAGTTATCCCAGGTAGACGTGTCTTAAACCTATGATCGTGGGTTTGAAGCCAAGTCCCCCCCCCCCCCCGATTGTTGGCGCTGGGTATGTCAGCACTATAAGGGTGATCGTGGTGTTACCAGAGGGATAACCGTCTGATATCTGCATCACTTCAGCTTTTGTCCCTGAGGCTAACAGCTGCGCGTCAAAGCAACCTTAAACCCCAACCCACTCACTCACCATATCTGATCCCACATGGGTAGGCCTACAATGTGTGAAGCCCATTTCTGCTGTCACTTCTCTTTCTCCTCAACCCCCCTGATATGGTTGGAATACTTACAAAAGCGGCGTAAAACCCAACTCACTCACTCACTTTATCTGATTAATCTACACCTTAACAGTAATGTGCACAGACTTAAAACGCCATCTGTCAACGTTTACTAAATTGAAGTGTCGACTCTCAGCAATTTCCTCATCACAGCTATTGACTCACTCCATTGTCCTCACTCTGTAGCCTCCACAAGAATGTGTAGCCGTGTGGTGCCCTACTATTTGTTTTAGGTTCCATGTATGTACAGAAGATAAGCTAAAACTGTTGGGCTCACGGTATGTCAGGAATGAACAGTCCATACGAACAAAATCAAAATGTTCTGTGAAGATGAAAGAACAACACTTCTGTTAATCTGTAGTTGGTGCGGTATTATAAGATGTCAAAGATTTATTCCATAATGATAAATTCCCCTTGAAATTCACGGAGTCGAAATTCAACCCTGGGCGACAGGAAGAAAGCAGTGATTGTCTTCAAGGGGGGCAGTTCCGATACGCAGTCGTAGTCTTATCTAAGATTCTCAGCTTCTGACTCAAGGTCAAGGTCGATATGCATTGCCTGTATTCTATTACGATATTCTGCTGTGTGCAATTCGCAAATATTATGAACTAACATTTATATATATGGTTTTACCCATGTTATGTTTCTATTTATTGTTGTCCTCTAAAACCAAAACCATTTAACCAGATTTAGGATTTCAACACCTTTCTGCAACAGTTGTTAAGAATGTCGGGGATGTTTGGATGTTAATATCAAAGCGAAACTCTGAATTCATATTTCATCGATTTATCACGCGCAGTTTCATTAATTCACCATCTTGCCTTATAACATATGCAGCTCTCAATGTGTCCAACAGCAGGACGAACAATCAAAATGGCAAAACAAAACCACATTAATGTGGCGGGGAACATATTTCAGAGCTACCATTTCAAAAAGGCCCTGTGTGTACGGTGTTGTATGAACAACGGTAATTGATATGTGTTCCTTTATGTAAGTTTCACCAGTTTGATTATTTCTTTCCAAACGTAACATAAAGTTTAGAACAAAAATGACCATGTACGAATTTAGTGATACAGTTGTATAGCTATGTCTGTTTCTGCCATTGTCCAATCTGTAAACATGAAGCAGGCAGTGATTGTTGAATGATGTATTTGCTTTTCATTCGTTGTCTCAAAGACACACGGAAAATGCAAATGTATTGTACCCATTGGGACAATGACTGAGAACGAGAATATGTGTTTGGGCCTCAGTGTGTGATACAGGGTTATATATCAGACTCTACAGCTCACTGTTGTATTTTACGAAATAAATTATTTTTACAAGTTTATGATGTCTCACGCGTCTTTATTTTTATGATTATATTTAATCAGGCGTGGTAATGAATTAAGATGGAACATTATTCTTCTGTACGAATGACTTGGCCCCGGTGACCTATAGGTCTGTTCCGCCGAGTTGCGGCCTTCACCCGAGTCAGGATCTGCAGCTTGTGTGTTCGAATCCTAGGTGTGTCAGCATCATGCCTGTGCTTATTTCATCAAAGGGGCTGTGGGGTAGCCTAGAGGTTAAAGCGTCCGCTCGTCACGCTGAAGATCCGGGTTCGATTGCCCACAAGGGTACAATGTGTGAAACCCATTTCTGAAGTCCCCCGCCGTGATATTGCTTGAATATTGCTCAAAGCCGCGTAAAACCATACTCACTCACTCATCGAAGTGATCGCAATTGTTTGATGGCTTTTCTAGAAGTTGGTGGGTAAATAACGAAGCATACAACTTTATGGATATCATTGGCGGATCCAGAGGAGGGGGGGGGGACAACACCCCCCTCTCTCCCACCTCCCTTGAAAATCACTTAAGACCACATTGAAGATTTTTTTTTGCGTCGGCGGAACCAATGGGGGTTTCAAAATTCCTGGATCCGCCCATGGACCATGGATATCAAGTTCTTGTTCACTGCATTGAGAGACGTTCCGATGTAGATTCCCATTTTTCAGCGGAGTAAGAAGCTACAACGAAGCACTACACAATAAGTCGTTATCCATAAAAGGTGTATGATTCGTTATCAGGATAACACTCCCCGTTATAACGCGGCAGATCCCTAATGCACGTATACATTTATTTTGCATGATCTGAATGTAATTTACATGATCTGAATCCGATGTAATCTGGTGCACTGGTGGATCCAGAGTGGGTGTGTCGCAATTTTTATAAGTCCTAGGCTCATCACTGGGTGGGAAGTTGATGGGGAACACTGATAGACCCGATGTAAGGGATTATCATTATTTGAACCCGGTAATACCTTACCTAGTTCAACCCTATACTAGTGACACATATATAGTATCAATGGAAGAATTCAAAGGTCGCGGAATGAATGACAGGCATTATCAGGAGTACAAGGAAGTTGAAATCAAACAAAGTTCGTGTTCGTATCTGCATAACTGATATCTACTGTCGTACATACACAGTATGCCCATATACAGATGATCTATACTGGACAAAAATAGTGAGGGGTATATGTAATTTTTGAATCTATTTATTCATTGACTGACTGACTGACTGAGTTTGGTTTAACGCCGCTATTAGCAATATTCCAGCAACATCACGGTGGAAATTGGCTTCACACATTGTACACATGTGGGGATTCGAACCCGGGTCTTCGGCGTGACGAGACAACGCTTTAACCATGAGGCTACCCCACCGCCCCTATTCAATGACACACTGATAAAATATCAATAATAAAAATACCAATATCCCTAACCTATTTTTTCCAGTATATATTTAAGTTAGTTCTTCTATATTTGTGTGCGTGAGCGTGAGCGTGTGCGTGTGCGTGTGCGTGTGCGTGTAGTGATGGTGAAACCAACAAGCAGGGTTGGCGCTGACAACCCTAGAAACACAATAAGGGCAAACCGGAAATAAACCCTAATTGAAACCTTATTGGTTTTACGTGCCCAATGGCCTTAAAACTGCACAGCGAATTGCGTAGTATGTATGTTATGTATTAAACATCAACATGACATTATAAATGATCAGTGTTTTAGCACATACATTCACTGACAAAACCCAGATCTTGTAACAGGAGACAGACAAGCCTACAACCGAGGTGAAGGAACAACTCAATTAACAATGTCAATATCGGGTGTGACCATCTTTGGTGTTGATACAGGCCATGCAGCGGCGGCGCATTGAAGCCATCGGATGCTTGAAAACAGACAGGGAGATGTTCTAAATTTCAACTAAACATTGGTACAACTGCACTACAGCTGGTTCTGGTTCTATCTCTCTATGGAGAGAAGTCTGAAACAGCCCGCCTTGGCAGTACAGGAATGTTGTGCCTCCTCAAAATGTCTTTTACTACACACCCGTGAAGATTCGGGTTAGAATTGATCTTCAGCAACCCACGTTAGTCGTAAGAGGCGATTAACGGGATCGGATGGTCAGACTCGCCGACCTGTCTGACACATGTCATCGCATCCCAATTGCGTAGATCGATGTTCATGCTGCTGGTCACTGGATTGTCTGGTCCAGACTCGATTATGTACAGACCGCCGCCATATAGCTGGAATATTGGGGAGTGCTGCGTTAAACAACTAACAAAACAAATCTTTTACAACACGTGCAACATGAGGATGGATCATGGCTATATTTCTTGCTGCAACTAGACCCCAGTCTCTGCATTTGTACAACGGGTAGAACATGACCTCGAACGATGTTGTTAACGTTAGCTGGTGAGGTGAAATTGGGTTTAACGTCGTGCTTGAGAACATTCCTTTCGCTCATATGACGACGACGTGCATGCGTGTGGATGTGCGGCTGATTGTTCTAGCCCAGACTGAAGCTGGTTTTATAGTGCTAGCCCACTGAGATACCATGCCGCAGTGAAGCATGAATACCTCACTCAGACACATTATACAGTCGTTAGCAAACCAAACTGGCATTACTGAGCTGTGATACCACCCTGTCCCTTCACACATCAACAAAAACTGACGACATTAAATAACGCTGGCGAAGCTAAAACGTATACTGTCTAAATCCTGTCTTCTAAACATCAGATACTGTCTACATCAAATCAGATGTACAGACAGTGACATGGAAAAAGAAACGGGCGTACTGTCTGGTGTTGTGTTCTAACTGGCTGAAAATGGTTCGGCCACTAACTGGTCTCAACCAATGTAGGAATTGTCCGAGCTGTTAATACAGTTTGGTATTGATTCCGTAGATGCATCCTACTGATCATGGGTCACTTGTGGACGACCTACCGCAGCAGCCTTGAGAGTTACCCTGTTGTAGACAACGTTTTCAAAAATGTCTTAACGTGCACTATAATGTAGCCCTTTCGCCATTCCTCTTTGCAGCATGCCCATGAGGGGTTGGTTTACATTAGCATATCATTGTATGCCACATTTCTATAGCGCCCTATTTGAACTACTTCTATATCACTCTAAGGTGCTTCACAAGTTGTTTTTCCCTCGATCATTGGATGTCAATCTCAAACGGCACAGTGTATTATCAATCTCAACTCCCTGGGGATCATACAACTCTTGCAGACACTAGGCGCACCGACTTGTGGCTTTCCCATCCTTACGAGGTACCCATTCACAGCTGGGTGGACTGGGACACAGTCACAGTACTTTGTCTAAGTTTTACTGCAGGTATGTACACATACTCATGTGGCCACCATCTGGTCATTTACCAATGTGGGTTCTTTTCCTGACTGACTGAGTTTAGTTTTACGCCCGCTTTTAGCAATATTCCAGCAATATCACGGCGGGGGTGGGTTCTTTTAAGTGCATAGGGTTGTGTACTGTACACTAGGGGTAGTGACAACATTGAAAGAGTCTGCACACAAAGTTGACTCCAAGGTTTTTACACCTGGTCACATGTGGGCTTGATCCCAGCACCTCAAGCTCGCTGGATCATATGCCTGGCGCCTTAAACAGCTCGCCAACCAGTGCCTCTCCCTTCAAATGCCTAAATTTTTAAACAAGACAAACAGACAAATAATACATAATATATTTTATTCAATTAAATAACTAAAATAGTGTTCATTATATAAATTTACTTTTCCTTGGATTGAAATTTGCACAATTATATTTCTTTGAACCTATGCCCTTCCTCTACCAATCATACTTCAACAAGTATTTAACACTGCAGCAAAAGAGCCACATCACTAAAACACAAAAATCACAGATATAGTCAACCACTGAAACATTTTACAACTGTCAACATCTTTCATGCATGTAGTCAGTATATTTAATGACAAGACATCTCCAAGGCCCAGAGTCTCTGCCATGTGCACTACTAAAAAAGATTCAGTGCCACCTGGGTCCCAAAAATGTCCATAGCATCATGCCTTTAGTAAGCCTATGGTAAAGTATGAGTTACGATATGTCTTAATGTTACAAACGCTTTGTGGATTGGGGCCATGATTCTTTCTTATTATTAAAGTAAACTTTCCGATTATTTTTTAATTCTGTGACAGAATAACTTCAGTAACATGAAAGAATCAAACTGTTTTTAGTAGTAGTCTATATACTTTGATAACACTGTCATTGTTAACCAACATATAAACAAAGGTGATTTAAAGTCTTTGTGTGAGGTGATGAAAAGATCTGGATAATTTTACAGACATCTTATTGTGGTGATACAGAATGGTAAGACAGTCAGACTCACTATAGATCCTAACCACAGTATTAGTGTTAATCATCTGCTACAAGCAGATCTCTACATGTTTACTGTATCAGCCAGTAAGTGGATCTACTCCCTAAAGAACAGAATACAACTACAAATACTCAACTATCAAAATTTAATAGACTTATTGCTTGCCAACATAAATTACTGATCAATCAGACATCATTTCAATAGTACCATATAAAGAAATGTCATCCTCGTGTGAACGGTAAATGTATGGAAAAACACGATCATTTTCAGACATGACACTACAGTAAGAGATTTGTTTTACCACCACACTTAACAATATTCTGATTAAGAATCAGGCTTCCATAGTTTTATTTGCACTGTGTGCAACTTTAAGGACACTAGTTAACACTGACAGTGACTGCTACATAGTAAACATGCTGTAGTTATGCAGTCTGGGTGTCGTCACCTAACATCAAACCAGTCAAACATTCGATTTATAAAAATGAGAATAAAATAGAACAAAAATATTTAACATAAACACATAATCATCACATAGACAAATATGATCCTGGGCACATACACACTAACTGTAACTTGTAAACCTTTCAGGACTAGTCGTATCATAAAAGATATTATTCATATATATTCTAGTATATTCAGGTATGAAGATTAAAAATTATTAACATATACTAGAGTAAAACCTATCTTACTCTTTTCAATAAAAATGCCAATAAAAATCAAGGTATAAAACTGCTTACTGGCTAAAATTTGAATCGGCATCCAGAATCATTATAATCCATTCACAAATCTTAAGCACGAGGTTAAAAATGAACAAATCTGATTTTTCAGGAATTTGTCAAGTTGAAGTGTGTTTTCTGAAGTGCAAAAGTATCTTATTGGAGACGCTGTTTCTTTGGTGAATTGTTCTCATCTGTTTCCATGTTACAGTTGACTGATGGCGCTATAAACTTGAGCATGGAATTGGTTGACAACTCTCCAAATAGGGTCGTAAGTAGACTAACGCCATATCCAGTTGCTCTCTCACCCTGCATAACAGAAATAGTGAGTGAGTTAGACTGAACAACACATTTAGAAATATTCCAGCACTGTTATGGTTGGACTAATGATTTTGACCTCTTGAGGTCTAGTATTCTTCATACTGCAAACTGCCAAGAGGAGGTAACTCACCACGTGCACTGGTGCTGCCATGTCGATGTGAAGCCAGACACCAGAGTAGTCGAAGCCAAGGTGGGAGCCAATAAACAGGCCTGCACATGACACCTGGGCATTATTACGATCCTGCAACAAAATCATTACTGTGATGTCATAATGGTTTACAAACATGACTAGTGTAGAATATAGACTATAGAACATATTTAGGTTAAATGTGCTTCACCAAACAATATTTTATTTAACTTGTATCAATCAGAAATTATTCTTGAAAGCTGTGTTGTTCAATCAGTACTGGAAGATATGGAAGGATTTACTAGTTCACAAGTTTGCATTCAGTAGTTTGATCCATTTTCACAAGGTTAACTTTAATTTCTGACTGTGGTCAGTTCCCAAACACCTCTGTTTCTATTCTGATATCCTTTGTGATTCCTTTAACTGCAGAACCTGTTACGATACCATTATAGTAAAGGTCTTTTCTGTTCAGAAACACATATTCAAATATCTCAGTTACATGTTCTACTTGGATCACATTCTACCAACACATATGCACACAAGTCACACGTATGCACACAAGTCACACATATGCACACAAGAAAGGGGAGGAGGAGGAAAGAGGAGGATAATAGGTAACAAAGTCAGCACAATGATGGAAGTACTATTGTCAACAGTTATCGGTCTCAACACATGAAACTACTGCTTAAGATACCATGATAATAGTCTTGAAAGTGCATAGCTTTTTGAATTTCAGTTCAAACACTATCCACTCAGACATAAAGTGTTTCTTTGTTTCTTATTTAACACAGCACTTAGTAATATTCAAGCCTGTAAACAATGAAATCTGGACCAGAAAACCCACTGATTGACATCACTAGCATCCATCTATGTATTTGGGAAAAAATGGCATGCACCATCGAAGTCTGCTCTCCTGACCATGGGATCCATTCATTGCATGTCGGATCATCACAGAAATACTTATATCAGAGAACAGGTGTATACTTCTCATCAGAAACGTGGCAGGCCTTCATTACTTACAGCGACAGAGTTCTTCATATCAGCCAGTGCACTAGCAAATTCACTGAAGTGTAGCTCTGGGCAGTATGGCATGGGGTGGACAAGGTCACCACTGTTCTGGCCAGCTTTCACACAGGCAAGTTCCATGTCCTCACTGTTTGTCACAATACTTGCATGGTAACGACCTAAAATGAAAATCAGAAATGTTAGACTTTGGATCCATGTATGAAAGTGAATAAATATCATAACAAATCCTGCCTTAATCTATCATAAATACTATTTATATGATAGTTGACTATGATAAGATCAGTATTGGTCATAAGAATATCCAGATTGATTTGTATTTATAAGTCCATATATAGGACCACAATGTTCTGCAGCTCACCTGAGGTTTTGTCTAGACACATTTCTTCCAACTTTGTTTCATTGTTTTTCTGAATATTACTATTCTTTTATTCCTATGTAGCACTATGAGTATGGTTTAGTGGGTGCTAAAGTGAATTACAATCATCCATTAACACAGATACACTAAAGTTCATGGGCACTGGACACCTGGCAATGACACAAGCTCAGGCCGGGTGACCTAAAAGAGCAACAAAAGCTAAAAATTAAAGCCCTAGAGCCTGAGTATTTCAGTTATATCAGGGTGTAGATTGGCTGCTGGACTGACCTGTTGCAACTGATTGGGCCCCAGTAAGTGTTGCCATATCCACAATGACATCAGCTTTCAGGTCCTTCTGGGCATATGCAACCTGAAACACAAAGATCTACTGTACTCAGCAGGTTTGGAAGTAAAACCTAAACCAATCAAACAGCTGGGGACACTTAGGTTCACTTGTATGTGAACTGCTTCACTATCATTACAGTAGTGAGACAGTTTGGTATAAGGCCATCTTGAACGGTGCTTCAGCTATATCCTAACTTGATGCAGTTTAATGAAAGTTCAATCTCCAACCCCCCTTCAAAAGAGACAGTGTCGTTGTATCTCTTCAGTTGTATTAAATCTGCCAGTAGGTGAAGCTATAAGTAGTTTTCTAATGACAGATAAATTTTGAGTACACTACATCAATCAAGTTTAGATGTTTTACTACATTGTGTAAAATGTAAATATGACTCATAGGTCACTGAACTTTCTAATTTCACAAAGAGGCATCATATTGGGTTAAATTTCTGGTCTGGGATCTAATAATAACTAAGAATTCAGTAGGAGTGAGTGAGTTTGGTTTTACGCCTCACTCAGCAATATTCCAGCTATATGGCGGCGGTCTAAATAATCGAGTGTGGATCAGACAATCCAGTGATCAACAGCATGAGCATCGATCTGCGCAATTGGGAACCGATGACAACATGTGTCAACCAAGTCAGCGAGCCTGACCACCCGGTCCCGTTAGTCTCCTCTTACGACAAGCATGGGTTACTGAAGGTTCAATCTAACCCAGACCTTCACGGGTCCGAATTCAGTAGGACTGCCAACACATCAAAACTGTGTCCTAATCTCACAACAACTGTTGATGTAAGCATAACATTTGGAAACAGTAAAATGATCAAAAAACAAAATCAAAAATCACGTATGCTCTTCTAAAGAGCTGAACATCCATATATATGTATCAGGGATAAGAAATGAGTTTGACTTACACCATCTCCCAACACCAGTCTCCCCTCGGCATCTGTGTTGTTCAGTTCTACAGTTCTGTAAACAGGAACATCATCATTAAACATGGTGATCCCCCATTGTGATAATGGTGGCTTGTATAATGGTGACTGACTGAGTTTGGTTTTAGCGCTTTTAGTATAATGAGGAACTTGAAATTGAGCCCATGTTTTTCATACAACCATTAGGTGACACTGTGCAAACATTCTGTGATCTTGATAACTAAAGTGAAAACTTTATTTCTGTTTAGTATCAGGTATATATAGTGCACAGACAATACTTTCTTCACATTTATCATCAGGTCTGTGTACATACCTCCCTGAATACATGGTGACTATGTCATCTGGTCTCTGCGCTGTTGGTCCCACAGCATTCTCCGCCAAACACAACACAGCATGAAGGTTTTCTCGGAATCCCTGAAACACAAGTTTGTGCATGGGCTACAGTGAGCAAGTCAATTAGCATTTACATTTTTGTTACCAGTTTTACATTTTTTAGGCAGTAACCCCTATAAATATCAAGCTGTGTCTTAAGTAGGGGTGCAACTGTACGCCCATGCTACGGTTCGGTACCTATTCTGGTACACAGCTCTCACGCTTCGGTACATTTCGGTTCGGTTCATTAACAATGAACATTAAAGTTCCGAGAAGAAACCTTGGAATTGGGACCCAAACGAAAGTGCTTTTACACGAACTCGTTCATCCAATCGAATTAGCACGAGTTGTTGACAATAGCACTATGGCACAGAAATGTCAGAAACGGTAGCTACATGAAGATGTCTTCTAGAATTAAATTACATGGAATATTTGTGATGACATTCCGAAAGTAATGTGCATAAGGTGAGTAAGATGATATTTTCGGTACGAAAACCAAACGTACTGTATTTTCAAAGTGAATTTCGGTGTACCGAAATGAAAACAAAATACTGTGGTATATCGTTTCAGCCCTAGTCTTAATACAACAATTTTCAACAGCTAGTCCTGGTTACAAAAATCTGGTCACTTTTAATAAACATAAAACATTCTAATGTCAGGATATCAAGACATTCTGACACATGTACATTTACAAAGTCATTCTACACTTTCTTCACTTTATTGATTAATGATCTAGAATCCAGTGCAAGTTGTCAGAAAAGATAAGATGTGTGACTGTATCAGGGTTTTTACATTATGCAGAAATATGCATCCAGTAAGCACACACATACAAAATGTGTGCAGAAGAAATATTTAGTGTCCTGTGGGACTCAAATGATTTTTCACAATGTAAACTTCTTCACAAGAAACAAAGTTCCTGTAATTAAAGTAATCAGTAAATCTTACAAAATGCGACACTATTTCAGTATGTTTTGTAAATTTCATATTTCCTCTAAAGACCCCTGTGGACCCCTAGTTTTGTAGGTCAAGGTGGAACCCTGCTGTCCCCACTCACCAGTTTGACAGCAGTATGGAAAGCTGCCAGGATCCCAGCAGCTCCTCCACAGTCTCGCTTCATCCCGCACATCCCAGTCTGTCAAACAGCAGAATGACAGTCATCAGAAGACTTGTTTCAGCTCATGTCAGTTGACAATTAGGAACAATATGTGCAGTGACAATGTTACGATGGGGACAATGTTACGATGCAGTATAACTAAACACTATCTCAGATTAGAAGTGTGTGAAATAATTCAAACAAGAAGACAAAGCCATCAATATCCCCCTCAATGTTGAACTACTCTTCATGAATATGCCAGAGAGAGAGAGAGAGAGAGAGAGACACCCTGTCATATGATAGCTGTAGCTATTTGGTTGCTTATGGAAAGACTTCAAAGAAAACCACAAGGCAATTACACAATAGAAACTTTTGTCACATTAGTCGTTATGGCGACGACTTACCTTTGATTTGATGCAGAGTCCGCCAGTGTCGTAGACGATACCCTTTCCTACCCATGCAATGCTTTTTGTGGCCCCGGAAGGTTTGTGACTTAGAACAGCAAGAGCTGGCTGGTGGATCGCAGCCATGCCTACACCATATATACCTAAACACAAGCAAACACCTATAATGTCAAACTCAGAAACAAGCTGCCGCAACAAGGATGCTACTTAGCAATAGCTAAAAGGCTAGTCAAATTTGAAGCATCTGGTGGTGTCTCTTTTTGGCTTAGCAAAGTTGTATTCCTGTTAGCCATCAAAAAAGATTTCTCCTCCAGACAAACATTTTGATATTAGCTAAATTCTAGCATAATTCTGAAACAGGCCTATCAGTAACTTATAATTGATATGACAGTTGCTGGCAATCAAGCCAAAGCACTATTAACACTGCAGCCTTCAGAACTGTATCCTATTTGAATTCAAAATAGATCAGTAGGTCCTTGCTGAGAGTCTTTTGATAATGTAATTTTCTGACTAAAATTGATATTTTATACTTATCCTGACTCATGCTTAATTGCTTGTCTTCTTCTTCTTGTGAACTATAGTGGAACACTTGAATCCCCTTTTGAAGCTCCCTTAAAAAAAGTGGACGTAAAATCACTTACCCCAGTTGTCTCCCTTTGCCCATCTTTTGGCACGAAAGTGGTCACACGATCGGCCATGCTTGTCAATCTCTCCGTTAGTTCTAGCCCGAAACTTGGATTTGCAGGGAAATCCAGAGTGCCATGAGGGGGGGTTGGGAGGGCTAACCTCAGGAGTCAGGATAAGTATAAAATATCAATTTTAGTCAGAAAATTACATATTTTTCCTTATCCTGACTCATGCTTAATTGCTTGTAGAATCCGACGGAATCGGTGGTGGGTCAAGCCACTCTGGATATGTCCTTATACCCCCTTGGGAACTTCTAATGGCATTTGTCCTTTCTTCCAGCTTCCTCTGATGACTGGGGGGACCACAACTTGTCAGATTTATCCTGGAAATCTTCTCCTGACATTCTGTGTGGATTTATACAACTCCATCTCTTGATGATTGCATCAAGTGGAGAAGTGACCCTACTTCGTGTACAAGTAAGTCCTTTCAAGTACAGGGTCCATCACTCATGCTAGTCTGTCCTAGACGTGCGCATGCTGAGTCTTGGCTTATGCAAGAATCAAAGTGACAAGGGGCAAGGGACAGGTGACAAGGGGCCCAAACTGGTGTATGCCGGAGACGCCCTCTGTAGCCATGTCTCTGAGGTAGTGGTTAGCAAATACCGTCTCCGGTCTCCAAAAGCAGCCCTCTATTATTGTTGAGATGGGGCAGTTTCCATGCAGAGCTAGTGTGGATGCCAGTGCTCTGATTTCATGAGGATTGGAGGCTCGTGGAGGATCAAGTCCTGCTGCTTTACAGGCTTTCAATATGACAGCTCTCATCCATATTGATATAGTTAATGCATGGAGACTTCTGTAGGTGTCTCCGTAGATAAAGGATGAAAAGGCGCTTGAATTTTTGTCTCCTCAATTTAGATCTCTGTAGATATATTTTCAATGCTCTGACTGGACATAAGGATCGATCTTGCGTTATCCTGTGGTCCTAATATCGACGAAAGTGCTGGGATATGGAATTGTCTGTCTGGTTGACCGGGCAGTTGATTCTTTGCAATAAAATCCCATCTTAGTCCCAGATGCACTGTGTCACGATGCATGTCAAGTCTAGAGCATGAATTTCTGACATCCTTGCCGCTGTAGCTAGGGCTCACGAGGAACAGTGTTTATGGGTTAAATTCTCATACGATGTCCTTTCTAGTGGTTCATTATCTTCACTGGTAAGATGTTGTAGAACCACATTGAGATCCCAAAGTGGGCTTCTTGAATTTTCTTTGTTGGTCTTCCAACTTGAATGATCCTAGTAGTGCCAGTATCTCTGGTACTTTGGTCAGTTTCATACCCGTTTTCATCGTGATAACTGAGCTCAAGGCCGCTAGGTATGTAGAGAGTCTAGATCCCTTCAATTGTTTTGTCTGTCTAAAGGTGACAAAGATATTCCATACTTGAGGATGTGTTGCTTCCATTGCAGTGAAGCCTTCATTCGAAGCGTATTTCTCAAAACTTTGCCACTTGTCATCATACAAGTTACGGGTTGATCTAAAAGGCTAAAGTTACTGCTTTGGCCACTCTGGTGGAATATCCTCTTTTCCTCAAGCAAGTCGCGTGATGCGGCTCCATGCGTGTAGTTGAAACATAGTGGGTGTGCTTGCTTGGTGTGTGGATGAATCAGTAGATTTGGCCACTTTGGAAGTTGTAGGATTGGATTTTCTATTTCTTGTATGAGGTTGGGGAACCACTCTCTCGCTGGCCAGTAAGGCACGACCAAAATCAGTTGTAACTTGTTTGTCATTTTGATTTTCTGTAATACCTTCGGTATTAATGCTGGTGGAGGGAACGCGTAAGTGTTTAGTCCTTCCCAAGAGATGCTTAGAGCATCTGTTGCCCATGCTTGTGGATCTTGAAACGGAGAGACGAATGTTTGTAGTTGTTTGTTGAACTTGGTTGCAAACAAGTCTACCAGCGGGGATCCTACTGTCTGAATGATGTCTCTAAACGCCTCTGGATATAACATCCACTCCGTCGGTAATGGATTCATTGGACGGTATAGGGCGTCTGCTATCACATTTCTGGCTTCGGGAATGTGTGATGCTTTTATGTCGATGTTCAGGTTGTCTACTATGCTGAATAGATGATAGCTGAGGTCTAACATATTCTTTGATCTTGTTGACCCTTGTTTGTTGATGTAGAATGCCACTGTTAGTATGCTGGACCAGTGTAGCCTTCCTTAGTATGTACCAGTGTAGGCGTTTATTACTGCTACCATCTTGAGCATGTTGATGTGCAGACTCTGCTCTTGATTGACCATTTCCCTGCTGCTGCCACTTCGTTGTCGAGGTGAACTTCCCAGCCTTGAAGTGATGCATCTACGTAGAGATGAGTGTTGCACTCCAGCTCTGATAAGTAGGATCCTCCACAAGTATTCGACTTCCAAGTCCACCATAGAAGATATGGTTTCAATCCGTCCTGTAGTCCTAAGGAGACCAGACAGTTCAGATGGGCGTTCACAAACACTTGTAGTGGATGCAATTGTAGACCTCCTCTGCGAGTCATGTCTTGTGCTGACGTGAGAAAACTGAGTAGGCTCTGCCAACTTCGTAGTGGTAACGGAGAGAGTAGTGCTTGAGATACCATGGCTTGTATCTAGACCCAACTATTCTTTGAGACGACAATGCGATTCTGCGGTGAGATGAACATCTTCCCAAATTTCTGCTTATATCCTACGTTGGAGGTACCCTTGCCATGTCCGTAATGGCAGCGAAGCAACATGTCCGGTTCTGGTAACATGACTTGAAGTTTATTTCTTCAATCTTCCGATAATATGTGTGCTGTCCCCTATAGTTGAAATGTTTTAGATTGAATTACCAGTTTTAATTTCGAATCTGTGATAATCTAGTTATTTTACTGTCCTTTGTTGACAGCTTTTTACAGTTTACCATTACTTACTCTGTATAAAATTAATTGTTCTCGTCACGATATGGCTGAAATATTGCCGCTGTGACGTTAAATTTTAACTCACTCACTCACTCCGATAATATGTTAAAAGGACTTGTCATTAGAATCGCCACAAGTGCAGTGATGATGCATAGTTCGTCGTCTCTAGATGTACTGGAATTGCCATCGCTGTGAAGTCTGATTATAGTAGACTTGCTGTCTCGAGCAGAAATCGTCAAACGTATATTGCTGCAATTCGTCAGATTACCAATCTTCAAATTGCTGACAGGGAAGGTCCTTATGACCCGTGAAGACGGTCAAATCACGCTGTACCCTGCTAACTGGACTGTAAATGGAGCCTTCCTCCCACGTTGAAAAGTTTTTTACGATTGTAGATAACTTCCCGACACGTGAGCTGTGCCTGACTTCTGCACAGGGCGTTGTCTCTCATGGACCAATCAGATTGCAGCATTTGATTCATCTCAGATTACCGCGATGTGAAATCACCGGTGTTGCAGGAAAAAGATCATTGTAAAATCTTGTGCAGTCGTTGATTTCTCTCATCAACACTAGGCCTTGTCCGTAACTTCCCGGAATACACGAGTGAACACGTGTATAGCAGGCTGAGTGGAAATCGTGCAAAAGATTTTGCCACGCAATATCAATGTAGGTAGACTTTTCCTCATCTTCACTTCAAGATAAATGCAGTCGCCATTTTATACATATGCTCAGCTGAAGTTCCATACTTGCTTAACGTTGATACTTGTAGACTGTAGGCATCAGTCTCAATGAAGCCTTTAAAATAACCGATAGTGTTGAATACACAAAAGTTGTTGTAGAGTTGCCATCTTTCTTGTCTCTAGCTCTCTGAATTCCTGCAAATTTAGATTTGCCAGAGTAACGCTGTGATGTCTGTCTGATAACGCTGGCCAGTGTATCAATGGACTTGATCATCTTAACTTCTCTGACTCCTTCGTGAACTTCTTTAGCCATCGCCCTCAATTTCCTCTGGCGAAGATATTCGTTTGCTGCCCATGGAGCTCTGAATAGCGGTTTGGTTAATTTCTCACTCCATTTACAAGATGATAGTAGACCTTGTCTTCGTAGCAGTGTTAATCCCACCAATGTAGACGCTAAACGTTCTGACATGAACTGTTGGTCTTTCCTTCGGGTCAGTAAGGCTGAGTAGATCATCCGATCTTCTTCAGATGTTGAGTTTGCAAACTTCGCAATTAGGGTTTCGTTGATGGCTCTTGATCTGGCTAAACCAAAGAAGGTACGTCTAGTGGTTGTGTCTAGTTGCGCTAGCTTCTTGTCCCTCCACTTTATAAGTCCTGATGCGAGTGTCATTTATAAGTTTATAGTTTTCATCTGCTTCTGGGGCCTTCTGAACGGTTCCATGTGATGTAGTGAAAATCTCTTGGCATTAAACGGTGGAATGCTTTGACTTTGATACTTTGTTGACTTCTTAAAGGCTGAGCTGAGGTTGTCTGGGACGTCCAATACCGGTTCTATGGGTGGCAGCGTTAGCGTGTCAAAATCGTCGTTAGACATCATGTACGTGTATGCTTCATTATTCTCTTTAGATGGTGATGCAAGCTCCAGACCATTAGCCATCCAGGATTAGATCTCTGTGTCGGAGAAAATGACTCCATCATCTTCCGGTTTCAATGTGTCTCGTTCTGAAGATCGTTGCCGTTGGTCCTGATCTCTAGATGGAGATCTATGTGTAAGACTGCGCGAAGGCACTCTAGAGTGCCTTATTAGAGATGTACTAGGTGATCTGTATCTGCGTGGTGACGACCATGAAGACCTTACCGAGGATCTGTGCGACGGTGACCTGTTCTGTAAGTTGTATGCCTTCGTGAAGGCGTATAATATCTTCTGCGTGGTGTAATGCTAGCGTGGACCTCTGGTATTTGTCTGAGTCCGAGGATGATCTCGCGATGCCTTCGAATGCTCCTCGTCTATAGCAGGAGTTCCTTTATAATTGTTGCTTCCTCCGCGAATACCTTCGCAGGTGTTGTCTCAGTTGTTGTTTCCATGAGTGTCTTCACCAGTGGTTCTTCTGCGAATGCCTTCGCGAGATTCATCCCGAGTGTTGCTGTCATCCTGGGCGTTCCTTCATGAACGTTTTTCTTCCACGGAGTTGCGTCCTTCATCCCTGATGAGGTGTAGGCGATGTTAGATCCTCCTTGCAGACTTCGTCTGCTTCTCTGCAGTCTTCTCCTGAGCGAACCTACGTTCCATCATGTCCATCATCTGCAGGGTAAACTGCTGCATAAAGATGCCGGGTTGGTCTGCGCTGATAACTGCTGCAGTTGTACAGATGATGCCGCATCTGACAGTGCTTAGGTGTTATCTAAGGACTGCCTGTCCTTTCTGCTAGTTGCAGTCTGCACAGATAGGCCGTCTGACTGCGTTGATATAGTTGCAGACGTCAGTGTAGAAGAAGACCTTGTCTTCTTTCTCGCCGGTACTTCAGGGATGAGGATCGGCGGCTCATCGTTAACGTCTGCTTCGTCCGATGGGTTGATATCTGCGGCGCAGGACCTCGACTTCTTCGCTGCCCCCACTGACGACTTGTCTGAAGACGGCTTAGTTTTCACAGCAGACGACGTCCTGGTCTTCTTGGACTGCAACAAGGATTGTTGAGTCGAAGATGATCTTTTCCTAAGGCCGGAACCCTCATTTCTCTGCTCTGCAGACGTCACTGGCAGCACACTGGAATGATGTACCTCGACAGACAACAACCCACGGTTATTAACGCATTCACCCTGTTGAGACATGACTTGTAATTGCTGTCTCAATTTGTCCTTGGCACGTCTATGAACAGAATATAAATAATTACAAAATTCAATTTGAGATAAATGCTGACAAAGATTACAGCGGAGGCTGGAAGAACATATAGAAGTGCAGTTAGGACATAGTAAATGCGGATCAGCAGCCGACAATCGAAACCTGCAAGAAATGCAAGTCTTCATGAAATGTAAACAAGTTGAGACATGTTGTCAACAACGTGAAAAACGGACAAATTTAGAATAAATTTCAAACCATATTGTTGGTAAATCCTTGATAAAGCCCTTATATAGCCTAATTTAGTATAAAAGCCTAAAATTCAAAGGATATATGCCGTATATGGGACCCAGGCGCTCTCACAACCGTCCACTAGGGCGAAGAAGGAGAGAGTGACAAGCATGGCCGATCATGTGACCACTTTCGCGCCAAAAGTTAGGCAAAAGGGAGACAGCTGGGGTGAGTTATTTTACGTCCACTTTTTAGAAGGGAGCTTCAAAAGGGGATTCAAGTGTTTCACTATAGTTCGCAAGAAGAAGAAGACAAGCAATTAAGCATGAGTCAGGATAAGGAAAAATAATTAAACATGCAACTGACATTACATAGTGTACGCAAAGTGAAGAATATTTAAGATTCAAGTTCAGGTTACTACAAACTGATTGCTGTACCTCCAAATCCCTGCTTCTTGAGATCCTCCCCCTGAATGATGACTGGTTGAATGCCAAGGTCATTACCAATTCTTCTCACTTCCTGAAAACAACCACCTCTGTGTTACACGAATCTTAATAGCAGGGTTAACAACTAAAACAAAACGTCTGCCAGTTCGATAAATTTGGCAAAGATTAACGTCTCACCTGACTGAAAATACATAACCCTTTTCAGTGTTGGCCTCCAAAGAACAACCTCCTCTGCGTTACATGAATCTCAATAGCAGGGCTAGTTATTAACACAAAAGGTTTGCCAGTTTGAGAAATTTGAAAGATTCATGGACTCCAGAATGAGTAATTCAGCTCACTGAAAATACAAAGTCTTTTTTTCAATGTTGGTATAGTATGTTCCATAATTATAAATATCATCGTGCAACTAAACCTAATCTTACTCAATACTAAGTAATCTCAGCTTACATCTAGAAATGCATCCGTATGCATTTCAGCACATGGAACATCAACAATCTTTGCAGCAAGACGAACATTCTCTGCAGCAACAGCCATGCACTGGATGTCAGTTTCACTGAGAGGTGTGTCACTGTACTGGCCCACAAGGAGAAACTCTACATTGACTGTGCGCTTCCCACCTCCCTGATTTGACTTGGCTGTGTACAGAGGCAGAGCTCGCCCCACGGCTGCAGCAGAGGCCAGGGCATCACCTCTCTCACAGACAATCTAAAACATAAGGAAACATCTATCAAACAATGAAGAATTTTATACATGATTAAAAATCTGTTTATATTACAAAAACTGCATACATTTTTAAGACATAAGTTTACAGAGAATTTAAGTTACAAAAATAAGCGGTCTATGCTACTGCAAACAAGGATAAGTTGAGCACCGACCTGACAACTGACCCGTATTAGCATGTATGAGTGCCGCCCACTGGCGCTTGTCATTGTTAGCGAAGGGGCCCCAGGTTGTCCGCGATCAAGTGTAGTGCGAATTGCTACCCTAACGTGAGAGTCTTATGAGCAAGGCGTGTGCAGCTACGTGTGGAATAAATTTCAACATCATGCAATGCACATACACTATCCTACATCTGCTCTACCTTTCACAAACCAAATGGGTTTGCTCATTGCCGTGCACCGCCTACTTCTAGTAAACGCGTTCTCTGCCACGGTCCAACTTATCCTTGTTCACCAGTAAGTGTAAAATACAACACAATATGCTTTGACGATGCTGACGAGTGAGTGAGTTGGGTTTTATGACGCTTTTAGCAATATACCAGCAATATCACAGCAGGGGACACCAGAAATGGGCTCCACATATTGTACCCATGTGGGGAATCGAACCCAGGCCTTCAGCGTGACGAGCGAACGCTTTAATCACTAGGCTACCCCACCCCGATCGATGATGATGAAGTGGATCAACACTTCACACTGCATCTCTGTAGTTCATATGCAGCTTGGCCACACAATGGTGGAGTCATGGGTGAGGCTGTGGCCCGGCTATTTGCTGTGCAGAATTGTGTCTTTTGGACATGCTTATTCCCACTATTTTAGGTACAAATCCTGACTGGTCATCAGTTGTGCTTCTATGTTTGCCAACATTATGCTCATGAGTTTCACTGAAGTGATAAACATACGAGACCTCCACCACTTCAGGCTTTCCTCTTATATTTAGTCGGCATGCTGTGATATCACTTGAATACTGTTCAAAGTGTTGTTTTAACCAAAACACTCACTCGGTGTTCGGTTTTACACCGCTTTTAGAAATATTTCAGCAATATCATGGCAGGGGACACCAGAAATGGGCTTCACACATTGTACCCATGTGGGGAATCGAACCCGTGTCTTCGGGATGACAAGCTAACGCTTTAACCACTAGGCTACCCCACCGCCCGCTCGATGCTGATGAGGTGGATCAACACTTCACACTGCATCACTGTAGTTCATATGCAGCTTGGCCACACAATGGTGGAGTCATGTGGTCCGGCTATTTGCTGTGCAGAATTGTGTCGCTTGTATCCATTTGGAGAATCAAACCCAGGTGTTCGGCGTGACGAGTGAACGCTTAACCACTATGCTACCCCACAGCCCCCTCTCACACAGCAGGGAGATGGGACTACATACCACAACATATTCATCTCCCCCAACAAGGCAGCTCTTGACGATCTTGGTTAGCGAGTGACAACGCGAAGGTGTGTTGTGTCTGCTACACTTGGTAGGCAGGGCAGCAACAGTGGCATTGTTCAGCCACAAGGAACAGGAGTCCGTTGGGGATGGATGTAGCCCTGACACAGCAGTGTTAAATGTCTGAAATGAAACACACAAATTACTCCTGCACTTTCACAAAGATAACAATGTTATATCACATATGTCCCAAAAAACAGGTTGTTACGAGCATGGCTTAGCTTATATAACTCGGCAACAACTATGATGCTATATATTCAATTGCCTTTTTCCGAATTCTACATCGTAGGCACAAAGCCGAAGTTTCTCAATTCTTAAAAAGGCTTAAAACTGTCATAGTCAAGTTCAATGAACTGACAAGCATACATAATGGCTAAATGCCAATCATTTACCTGTACGAGTATTCAATGGCATATGCAAAGTCAAAAGCACGAAAGCAGCTTTCTGAAATAAGCCCTGCACCTTTAAGTAAATCCCAAACGTCATACTTCCAACTTCCTGGTTGTTCAATCATTAATGAGTCATGTGGTAAGACTGTCTATGGCACTCTGTGCATAGTCAGAGAACCCATGTTTTCAGCTTAGCCCATGTTCAATTTCAAATACTACATTTAATAGAATTCCTTCAGATGTCCTGGCATGCTTGCGGTCAGTGCAGGGAAAAACTTTCATCCTTGACTTTCACAAAAATACTTACATCTGCATCCACTCTTGGCTCCAACTTGCAACGGACATCATCAAATGAAATAAGACCCAGATTCTTAGGCTGCCCAATTATGACAACTGCATTATTTTGAGGGTCAGACTGAGCCAAGGTGGCCGAAAACTTCAGTGAGGTAACCATCTGGCCAGATATCTAAATCTGAAAAAGAAATGTTATTCTTTCAGTATCTTTTAAAAACTAAGAACATTTTTTAACAGGGCACAGTTGGTGGACTTTTATCCCCTATGTCCCCCGAGCTTGAATTTCTGTAAAACTTCACTAACCTTTGATCCCATTCCAATGGTTCTAGTGATTACAAAATATTCTGCTTATATTTCCATGAATATTTTCAAAGCCAATCAAACATTGAGAAAAGAAAGATAAAAGAGTGGTGATTCATATTGCCTAGAAACCAAAGCCACCAACAGTTTTAATGAACATGAGTGAGAAGTTGGGATTTACACCTCTTTTTACAATATTCCAGCAATATCATGGCGGGGATACCAGGAAGGGCTTAACACAATGTACCCATGATGATGTGGGGAATCAAACCTGGGCCTTCGGCGTGACAAGCGAACATTGTAACCACTGGGTTACCATACCGCCCCTTTAATGGACAAGATGATATCATTTCCCCAAAAGGAATCTTGAGTGCTTTGTTTAGGATATCACTGTTTAATTGATGAATGCCTTGCCAACTAAATATCATTTACAACAGGACTGGCCACCGCATTGTAGGCATTGCCAACCCAACATTGTTCAAAGCTGGTTTGTAACTGCTGTTCCAACTTGACTAACATAGCAAATCAAACTTGCTAATAAAAATCACGGGTGGGTAATTTGAGATCACAAGTGATCAAGGAGGTTTTGTGTATGAATACACATTGCCATTTAGAAAGTGGTCAAATGTAACATATGTTGTGGAAGCCGCACAGGTTGAGCGGGTTAGACTGCTAAATTTGTGTGCTGGCGATTAGGGTGTGGGTTCAAATCCTGGATGGTACTCAAACCAACAAAAGTTCTTTACTAACAAAGTGTAACCCAAAATATAACATACGTTAGGTTTTGTGTAACCTTGCATCAAGGAGGTTTACCCTACTGTGAGTCCAAGAAGCAAAGGATGGTGGTCTTTTGTCCAAGGACGATTTGTCAAAATTTTACAGTTGGTACCCCGTTTACATTTCAAATTGTCTGTGGTACTGGTAGCACATCTGTCAATTCATAACAATGTACATACTGCTTTTACCATCTGACTTGACCTGCTTGCCAATACATAGCAATGATCCACATTTTGATAATGTTCTACGAAAACTGGATGGCTGCTTTGCACAGGCCTTGACACGTTACACAAGAATGCAAATTACAGAATATCATAAAATTTTGATTGCCTAAAATCGCTTGCCTAAACTAAATATCTTATGTACGCTTATTACTTCCTTTGGAACTGTACTACATATGAAAGATATCAGTCTATTTTTAGTAGGGCTGTAACGATGCATCGAACTATCAATGGATTGCAATTGTTGAGTCTCCAATAGCAATTAATCGATAGTAGAAACGAAAAACTATCAATGCATCGATAGTATGTGTGACTATCGATAGTTTAGTAATTGACGTCCGTTGATAAATGTGCAGCGCAAAATACAGGATGTTTGGGTGCAGACTTGCAGCTTCGTTGCGATTATGTGTTAACGGTTAACTTGATCTGGATATCAAGCCTCTTGTCAGTGACTGAAACTACTTTAACTTGTTTTTATTTCATATAAACTATACAATCATTTGCGAAATAACTTCGAATGAGACAATTCAAGGAGAAGAAAAACTATTACAATAGTATTGCAATAGTTGGTCACAATAGACTACCGCTATCGCAATGGTATGTTGCAATAGACTATCGCTATAGCAATATTTGTTTCCCCCTCAATTAGTCACTCCTAATTTTTAGACACAGAAGGTGAAGCTTGAGTCCTTCATGTTTGCAAGGGTCCGATTAATTAGGGACCATAGCATTACAATGATATTGATAAATCCATCGCTACTATAGTTCATAATGCTACAAATGATTTGTGGAACTGGACCTTTTAACAATTTTAATTGAAATGTGTTTTCTTATATTTAATGGTGACTGATTAGGAAGAAAAGAGCAGAAATATTTCAACAGTACTAATCAATTTTCAGTCTGATCAAGCTTGTGAAACCTGTGCAAATTCAGCATCAGACTTTAGTCAAACATGCTGAAAATTATGCAGATTATGCAAACTTATTTGTGATCAGTAGTTAAATGACAAAAACTGGGCTAAACATAGAACTTTATGATACTGCATCTTGGGTTGATTGGAATTATACAGTGAACAATGCTGGCTAAGGGTTCAAGGTTATCATTATATGCCGGTAAGCTCCGGCGTCTGTAGTTGATCACTATAAACCGATGAATTTTTACTTTTACCAATCATTCAGATAAATTACACTTACGAAGGCGGGCAAATAGCCGTCGTGCTAAACCGAATATGTTTACAATAGTTACAATATTATAGGTCTACAGTCCGAACAGGGCAATGTACAAAACTTGAGCAACCCTGGTCAAGGCATAGAGTTAGACAGCCTTTCCCTGGTTTTAGCTGTGAGCCAACAAGCTCACATGCTAAAACGTATCACCGATAGCTCAAAAACTTGCGCATAATCATGTGAAAACAGACCACTGAATAATTTCTAAACATAATAAAATCACGCTTCGTAACTGATTGCATATCTACAAAACCGGGTCAATCACAACTCAATAAACCTTGGAATTTGTCGATCAGTTCATTCAGCTCGAACCTGCTGCAGGAATGCCTCTTCCGATAAACTCTACCTAGCGGAATATGTATGACCGGTCATGTGTACGAAACGATAACGCCACCTAGCGGCCAAAGATATAAAAGCCATTTGTGTATACATACCCGTTATTTACATCACACATTTATGTTTTTATGGCAGTTGGGACCTGTTTGCTATACAATATTTGCATTCATATTTGAAATACAAAGCACTGAAATATTAGACTTTATGTGTAAACATTTTACATTCACCGGTCTTAGAAATTGGACTCCCCCTATCCATCATTCAAGGGAGATAACTATCAATAGTGATGAATATATTTATATTTCAACGTAACCTTTTCTCTTGATTTCAATAAATTAGCCTGTAATCCTACAAACCGACACTTTTCTTTGATTTGAAATGAAATCTCGTTTCAATTTGTGATTAAACGTGATCTAAACATTCAAAATGGCGTCGCCGTGGCCTCCTGGCGAATGTAAACAAAATGCAAGAAAATTTTCATGTCATCTACACGCACAGAAGCTTTTGCTGGCTCTGAATGAGAACAGGCACAATGCACATCTATGTGATGCAATTGTTGTTATTGGTGAAGAGAAAAAACACGTCCAAAAGAATGTACTGTCGGCTGCCAGTCACTACTTCAGGTATTTATTTGTACCCAAGTTTAATCATTCTGACATATTCATTCTCCTTGCTTATCTCTCTGCGTAGCTGTTAATAAGACTGCACTCAACACGGCGCATGTTATAAGATGTAATAAGTCTAGAATATTCTGTCTGCAGACTAATGCTCACTCTCTATTGATACCTCGTGCCACTTCCATCCTTTGATAGGGGTGATTGCTACTAAGAAGTCTTGCAGAAACCCTCACCCCCCCCCCCCCTTTCAAAAACACCCCACACTGCTTGGAGAAAATGGCCACAGCTTAAGTTAAAATGGACCCAAAGAGGGTTGTGCACTTTACTCACCTTTTTGTTGGATGTCACTTACTGCTGCTTGGATGATGAACTCACGCTGCCAGGATGAATCTAAGCCGTCTAGTTGTGACCAATTAGTAACTTTAATTACCCAGCACCCAACCTCAGAACATGGGTACTATAAGAAATAATCAATACGATGTCATCAGCACCAATTGTTTACCATTCTACACAGCCGCCATTTCTCCGTAAATCCCAAAATTTGATGAAAATTAATAGTTTCCTGAAATGCCATTGGATTTTTTTTTTTTTTCTGAAATGCCATTGGATTTTTTGGCTAAAAGAGAAACCTGTCTATGCCCAACCTCACAATTAAATCTAAGTGTTTTAGTGCTTAATCGAAAAGGTGAACCAAGTAATAAGGATAGAGGTTGGTATAACATACCCTAACCCTAATGCAACTAACCCTAATGATCAGGGAGACATGCAATATCTGATGTTCACAGCTGTCCTTCTGAGACAAATCGCGCTGCAGTTAGCTGTATCCGGTAAACTGCATTTTTGCCAACCCAAATGTAAAAAATCTAACTCAAGTCATTATGTACTAAGTTTATTTACTGTTTAGATGTTTAGTTGAATTATAGATGTTATGGAATCTTCCAATGTCATATGGTTTCCACATCTCACATTCCAACTGTTCCTATTGTACAGGATGGTACTGCACTTCGCCAGTAGTTGGAAATTGTAATCTGCCCAGCCACGTACTGTTCCCACAATTGGAACAACTATATTATTCTGTCAGATATGACCACCAAATATATGATTGCAACTTCCCTTCTTGTATGATCAGCATCTGTGTTGGAAGTTGCTTTGCTTCATAATGTAATTTAGGGTTGAGTTTGATAGGGGCCCAGATACTGTTCATTCACAGTGTTGTTGATTCTTTGATGCCATCCTAACAAGAATAAGTAAAATCTTATGTATCACCAAAATGCTTGCATATGAAAAAAGTTTTCATATAGTTACACTTAAAACAATGCTGTCAAAATTGCTAGAGTACATGTTTAAAATATATCTTTGACATAGTTATTGATTAGTGGTTAGATACTCTTTTCTGAACAAACCCCTCTAACTATTGGACAACTTAGACACTGCTTTATCATCCATAGGGCTCGTTGTGAGGCAGGATAGCCATGGTATTGTAGTTGTATACCACAATTATAGCTACATAAAAAAACATACTTTGCTTATATTTTGTGAGTTCAATATATTAAATGAATGATCTAAGTATTTTCTTAAACCAACTCTTAACCTAGCCTTAGTGAGCATGTTGAGATATCAGTAAGCCATATTTCTGATTAATTTTACTGAAACATTATTGGATCTTTTGGCTCTTTGGAGGATCAGTTTATAACTCCAACAGGAAATGTGTTTGGAAATCACCATCCTGCGAAAGTCAATAATGAGTTTTTTGGTCTTTTTTTTTATGTGAAGACCAAAGAACTCATTATTGACTTTCACAGGAAGAAATCGACTATTAGACCCATCATCATCAACAATCAAACAGTTGAGGTTGTAGAGGAGTACAAGTACCTAGGTACAATTATTGATAACAAACTGACTTTCACTCAAAATACCAATGCAGTCTACAACAAATGTCAGTCTCGCCTCCACTTCCTGAGAAAACTACACTAATTCAACATTGATTTTTATGTCTCTGTTTTACAAATCATGTATTCAATCCATTTTAACATTTTCTATGCACTGTTGAGTACGGACCTCTGTCACTTCAAAATAAGAACAAATTAAAGAGGATTGTTAAAGTTGCAGTAAAAATTGCTTGTTGTAATTTTGATAGTTTAGACACCCTGTACATGTCTTCTGTTTTAAATCTTTCTGTCAGGATTTTACAAGACCCAACCCATGTTTTAAACCCTTGTCATACACTTTTACCATCTGGCCGTAGGTATCTTTTATGAAATGTAAAGTCAAAGAGAAGTAAACACTCTTTTATACCAGTTAGCATATCCTTTTTAAACAAGTCTTAAGCATTATTCTCTTAGTATATTTATTGTTAGATGTTTCTCTCATATATACTGTTGTTTACTAGGCATTCAATGTCATTGTTGCTGCTAATGTCTTAAATGGTTCATTCGCACGAAGGCGAATTTTTTCGGCATGTATAAACATTGAGCGAATTTCGTTTTCGCATTCATGGGAATGGTGGTCCTTTCCCAATTAACACAAACAATAGGGGACTGAGTGTTTGTTTAAGCTCACTCGATGAGGGCGAAGGGATAATTCGAACAAACTGAAAACCAAACTACTATTAAGTTAAGATATTTTATTCAAGGTTACAGATCTTCATTTGTTCACATATTGTACAAATTAAACTACATACATATACAAGCACACACTCACAGATTGCCATTTTTATGTTATGATATATTTGATATATATTATGTTATGTTGCACTGATTAAAAAATGGACAAAATATTCTTACTTATTACACACATATACAGATGACTAGACTAACTTTATAGATTGGATGGTGTAGTGGTTAGAGCATCCGCCCGGAGAGAGGAAGGTCGCGGGTTCGATCCCCGACCGCGTCATACCAAAAGACGTTAAAATATGGTATTTGTTGGTCCCTGCCTGGCGCTCGGCATTAGTGGGTACAACAAGGACTGGTCGGCTCGGAGTCAGTATAATGTGTCTGAGTGGGGTATTCATGCTTCACTGCGGCATGGTGTCTCAGTGGGCTAGCACTATAAAACCAGCTTAAGTCTGGGCTAGTACAAGCAGCCGCACATACAGATACACACGCATGCAAGTCGTCATATGAGCGAAATATTCTCAAGCACGACGTAAAACCCAATTTCACCTCACCTCACTCACTCGTTGTGTCTTTTCACAACTGTGACCTGCTTGTAAAGAATTAATTGTGTTCCACTGCACAGATATTAATTATAAACGTGCACACCTGCCACTGTTGCTGTCGTTATCAACTTTTCGATTATGGTGATTTTCTTGTTCAGTTGATCATACTTTTCTGTTTAGTAACTGAGCGAAATACCGGGTATACTTTCAGGTGCATATTTTATGACATTTAACATATGCTTAATGCACAGCATCAATAATACATGCTGAAATAAACTGGAGTTAAAAGAAACACCAAGTGTCATTTTCCATTTTCAGAGCACTGTTTAACTACGGTGAGGCAACAGAAACAGAAAATGGCAAAACTGTGATCAACCTTGGATCTGTCAGTGTAACCATGGCGACCTTCACCTTGATACTGGACTTCCTGTATACTGCTGAGATCAACCTGTGCCCTGACACGATCCAAGATGTCCTACAAGCAGCAGACCTGTTCCTTCTGAATGACCTGAAGGTCCTGTGCTGTGACTACCTTGACACGTGCATCACGCCCACCAACTGTATAGGAATCCGGGAGTTCTCTGCCCAGTATACCTGTAGCTGGCTCCTCCACAAGGTCACACGCTACCTGGATGAGCACTTCAGGTCAGTTGTACTCTCAGACAGTGTCACTTTGGTTTAGTTTTCATACCACATACCCTGAAATATTATTATAGAGAATTTTCTGTGTTTCATCTTCTTTTTATTACGTTTCAGGCCTTGTTCAGCCCCATCATCAGGTAGAACTGATGATGGGACCAGAACAAGCCCTGAAACGTTGTACCAAATAATAAAAAGAAGGTGAAATTCAGGAAATTCTATATGTTCATCAAATAGCATCTTCTTAAATGCCACTCAAGCATCTAAGGTTGGAAGTGTTTTCAAATTTACTTAACTTTTAATAAATGTACTATGCCTGATAGCTCTATATTTATGCATTATTTTAAATGAAATTGATAAGATGTAACACTCTGGACTTGTGGCTGAAACAAAATTTATCTTACGACTGTTCGATGAGCCATGTGGTCTGAATTACAAAATACACTTGATTGACTGGGTTTATCCACCTACTCAAGGCCTGACTTTAGTAAAGTCCTGTTTGGCCCAGTATACAAAGCTAACAATAGCCCATTGCATTAGATATATCGTGAACATGATTGTAAAAGTCAGGTTTGGGTATGCAGACTTGGTAAGCACACTGCTATGATGTTTTAATGTGAAAATAATTTTAGTTCCTATTAGAAGTCAGTTGTCTCTTCTCCTTAATTATGGATCTGTAGCAGCTCACTACCTTACTGAGGCAAGAAGTCTGAACCGCATACATAATTATTATTGATTTGTAAAGTACTGTTAAATATTTATTTCAACCTGAAATTAAGTCTGCCCATTCCAAAGTAGTATCCAATACTGTTTTGTTTCTTCATACAATCATATTTCAGATTCATTCTTGATACTTAAAGGATCACATCAAAAGTTGATTAACCTATATCATGATGCATGTCTAATCTCTGATTTGATAATCCCACAGGGAGGTGAGTTTCTGTGATGAGTTCCTTAGCCTCTCGGCTGATGCTGTCACAGAACTACTCAATCGGGACACTCTTGTCATCAACTCTGAGGATGACATCCTTGACGCTATCATCCGATGGTTTCGCTTTGATGTCCAAGGTCATCAGCCAGAGATGATTAATGCAGTGACAAGATGTGTACGTGCTGCCCAGATATCAGAGAGTTTCCTGGAGGCATTTGAAGATCAAAGTCCCGATCTTCTTCACTTAAGCTTGCCAAAACTGATCGGAGATCTTCGACAGACGGCAACAGAGCTACGTCCAAGGGGATTCAGCTGTGTTCTCCTGGCTTGTGGGGGAGAAGGAAATGTGTCAGAGTAAGCAATGTAGAATTTGAAGCAGAAATGATTTAATTGTACATACTTTCTTGTCATACATTCTCTGCTGAAGTCTACAGTAATTACTGAATATTGTAAACCAAAAGTCACTGTGTTCTTCAATCTGATTGGTTGAAAATCATGATCGAATGGTATTCGATTCCCGGAAATTGCAAGACCATTCGCTACATATTAATATGTACAAACATTGCAGACACCATTGTATTGTTACGTCGTCAGCAGTGGTGACATCATTCAAATCATATTGTGACGTAAAGTCCGAAAGACGTCACAAATGAGCAGTTCCAGATGCTACCATGAGAGACAGCCGAAACGGACGGCTGATGACGTTTCACTGCTGTACCCATACTCTACCGATGTCAATGAGTGCAGACACTAAAACGTGTGTTGACGTTTTGGTTTACTTTTGTGTTTACAATGTCGATGAACGTCATGTGTTGGCGAATTTCTGGGTTTTATTGGGTATTTGAAGCACGGGAATATTTCATTTGAAACCTCCAGCTTATGCCATCGGTTCCAAATGAATTCCCGTGCTTCAAATACTCAATAACACCCGGAAATTCGCCAACACATGATGTTTATCTCCTAAGTGAAGATGTATCTCTTTATTGATGTGTGCCAAATGTTAGTACATGTATGTAAACCATTCCTTTCTGGAATCAAGGTTATAGTAGGTTGGTTTGTTTGTTTGTTTGTTTGTTTGTTTAACCCTGCACAGAGCAATATTCCAGCTATATGGCGGCAGTCTGTAAATAATCAAGTCTGGACCAAACAATCCAGTGATCAACTACTTCTAACCCGAATGTTCACAGGTGTTATAGTAGGTCCCCAGAAACTGATCCATGATGTAATAGATGTCTAAATTAAGATAAGCTTTGAATAAGCCGTGTGATAAGCCTGTGGACATGTTTTATGGCCTGTCATCAGACTTCTGTCATTCACAGAACCTTTTGGCAAAATTCATGGATATTCTTGGATCCAGCCACCTTACAGCCTTGAAGTTTGGTTTGATCTGTGAATATGCATGAATTTCACTTTTTTACAAGCTGATTAATATGGTATATGTATAATGTTATGTAAATGTCTGGATGACGTGTTTTACAGCCATAGTGATGACTCTGAAGTCAAGGCAACTGTCAACTGTGTCAAGATCTACAATCAAGGCACTTCTACCATCGGTCAGTGGATTTCATTGCCCAATATGAATAGCCCCGGACTGGACATGGCATGGTTGAAGTTGGTTAGTATTGTCATACAACGTATCTGATATGTGGTTTTAGTCATTTTTGAGGGTGTTTGGGTAATCAAGTGCTTAAAACATTTGCTCCTCATGCAAAAAGCCTGGATTTGATTCTGCACAGTGTGTAAATCCCATTCTTGGAATGTTGCTAAAATCAACTTAAATTTAGTCATTTTCATTGCACCCATGAGTCGATGTGAAACGGTTATGATGTCTTAGACCATAGGGTCATGGGCCATGACCCTATGGTCTAAGACATCATAACCATTTCACATCGGCCTGTGCAAAGTGTCACGTCAAGGGAGGTATGTCACAGAGAATAGTTGGATGTTTGGCAGCTTGACCACCATCCTGCCACCACCATCCTCTATATCTCCAGGTGTAGCGTTTTAGTGAAACCTACACTACCGCCTTGATTTATACCTAGGGTTCTTGCAATCTTAATTATCCTTGATTGAATTTGCCAATCTGATTGGCTACACTGCTGGGTTTAACATGCCAGTCAGGATACCAATGACTAACACCAGATGATACAGTTGATACACAATTTCAGGCTAGCTGACCCAAATGTGATGGTGATGGAGAATTCAGGGTCCTTGGGCATTTATGCTTTGTCATCAAATTAAGTTAACTTTGTTCTCAACATTAAGGTAATAAATAGGAACAAACACATGCCATCACCCTCTCTCCCATGTTCCGTGATGTGGAGATAAGTGTTGACTAAGGAAGGGAGTGAATGTAGGATTGGGGTGTGTGTGTCAGGATCTTGGCACTTCGTACAGAAGAATACAAAATTTATACAGTCATTTGAGATGTCTGCAGAAATCTTTGCTTGGACCTAGTTATCCCCCTTTACCATGTTTCTGATCTGAATTGAGGAGTTAATTTGTTGTTGAAGACACTTCTGTTCATATTGTTTCTTCTGTTTCATTGCAGTTTGAAAGCCACAGGTTATAGGGATGTGGCTTAATATTGTTTCAAGTTTTGTGTGGGGACAAAATCTGTACAGGTGACATTCTAATATACTTCATTTCTGTTCACCAGGTGGGTGCATATATGTATTTGGAGGACGAGACCATCACTGTCAAATCTTGAACACCGGTGAGAAGTATGACCCCAATACTAACACGTGGACTGTGTGTGCACCTATGGCACATGCTCGTGTTGGCTTCGGGCTTGTCGCAGTCGACGACAACATTTATGCTATTGGTGGCAGCAATGACATGACAGATCCCTTGACCTTCATGGAAACCTACAACGTCTTCTCCAACAAGTGGCAGTCCCTTCCTGACATGACAATGAAAAGAGTATGGTCAGCTTACGCAGCTGTGGGGAAGAAGATCTATGTCATTGCTGGTGGCACAGTTGGCAAGTTTTACGAAGCAGTGGAATGTTTCGACACTCGAACTGAGACGTGGGTGTCGGTCTGTCCCATGAGGGAAAGACGATGTGATGCAAGAGCCGTAACAGTTGATGAGGACATTTACATTTTTGGTGGATTTCGTCGATTTGAATGTCCTAGTGCAATGCATTCTGGGCACAGCTTGAAATTCTGCGGCACGGAAATATACTCCACGTGTAACGATCACTGGCTCCCGATGTGTAATAAAGGCGGAGTACCGGGGATGTGTACAATGACAGATGTGTCACATATAGAGGGAGCAGTCTACAATGGGGAAGATGTGCTGGTGGTTGGTGACCTTGACATTGGCAATGCGTTTCACTGTGTACGAGCTTACAACAAGATTACAAACTCATGGCGATGTGTCGTCCAGAACAAGCCCAAGAACCAGAGGTTCTACCAAGTTTGTCTTCTCCATATGCCAAATGCAGTTCTCCGGAAGCTCCTCTGGGACCAAGAAAAGATGGTCTATTCGGACCTGAAATGATGAAGATTTGGATAGTTGTCAAAAGTTTACTGACCCAAAGGAAAGCTGAAGAGAAATTCATAACAAAATCACAGGTGTTTCAAAATTTCCACCATCTCTTTAACTGAGGTGTCTGTGTGTGGTGGTGGTGTGTGTATGAGTGTGTGAGTGGTTGCTGCACAGATATGACTTGACCATGTACAAGGAATTCTGTTATGAATTTTGCTTCAACTGGCTATGGATGATGACAGCATTTCACATTCTTGTATCCAAGATTTTATGCTTGCACCAAAGTCAATACTGTGGCGTGTGTAGTATTACTGACCAGGCTAGCTATTCTTGAAACGTTTGTAGCCCTACAACCTTCTTAAGCCCATTCTTAACACATTGGCTATGATCAAAGTTAACAATTCTTAGGGTTACAGAACGTTTTGAGAATAAGGGCCCAGGGTTCCATTCCACAAAGCGATCTTAGTGCTACAATTGGCATAACCCAATGCTATAGTATTCGAATTACGATCACCTTTGGGCTAAGATTGCTTTGTGGAACGGGTCCCAGGATCCTTTGGAGTGACTTGTATGGCATCTTCCTATAGGAGTTTCAGTTCTACTGTTATTGACCAGTCCACAGTGTAATGCAAAATACTTGTATCAAGGTAGAAATTGTCACTGATGGGTTCTTAGCACTAGATAATTATTATATTGAGTACATTATATAGTGCTAAAGGTGTGGTGGGATAGTAGTGTAGTGGTTAAAGTGCTCGCTCATCATGCCGAAGACCTGGGTTCGATTTCCCACATGTATGTATATGTATACCATGTGTGGAGCCCAAGTCTGGTCTCCCCAGCAGTAATATTGCTGGAATATTGCTAAAAGCGGAGTAAAACTATACTCACTCACTATAGTGCTAAGACCCTTGCAGTGACAATATATAGCTTGATGCTGGTTTTTGTGTTACAAGTCCCTGTGTACTGGTGGATCATATGTGTGTGTGGATCAAACTTATTGCATCACACATTTCGCAAATATGTTCTCATAAATATTTTGAAATTTGTGGCTTTCTCATGTGGACATGGTTTTCATTTTGGCCTCGCATGTCTTAAAACTACATGCCATCAGGGATATTTCTGTAAAAAATAGTCAAGTGATGTATTAGAGCTGAGACTCCAGCTGAACACTGTAGTGGGCCTGTTAATGACTGGTACTGAGTGAAAGCTCTGAAAGTTTTAAGTGAAACTCCAAATGAGTTAAACTTAAGCAATGATTGAACTTGTGATAGAATTTGTTTCAGTGGGATTTTACATGTAACGTCTAGCTAGGTTTTAGTTTAATAAAGACACAAATGACTTGTGAATAGAGTGAAAGAATTGTGAAAAGATCTCTTGGCGGAATGGTAATGGCAATAGATAATCAATGTTTGTTGTTTGATTGTGGAAGTAATCAGTGGAAGAAATCCATGCTCTGGGTTTTATTTTTAAAACATTAAATTTGCAACTAGGCAATAAGTTATTACGAAAAACTTCTGCCAGATAACACATTTGGATACAGTTTAAATTGAATTTGGTTAAAGGTGTTTATAAATACATTAAGAATAAGATAAAGTGCTAGATATCAACATTCTGATCAAAGTTTTTAATATAAACTGACAAATGTTTTATCATTTTTAAATTGTCTTTATTGATATTGTGATAAGAGGAGTGAAAATGTATTGCTGACTTGACACAAATGTTTCCATTTTGATGTTTCCTTAGTTTAAAATGAGTATGCCAAAGCAATCTATTCAAATTGATAATATTGTTTATTGTTATACCCAAAAATGTTGAAAATATGAATTTTTCACTGCCAATTGGACTTTGTGATGATAATATTTGAGAACTGAGATTCTGTCCCAAACATTTTGTATGTCTTGTTATCATGTTAAAGTTGGTGTTGTTTTGTGATACTAGTATTCATCTTTGTAGAATGTTTTGGATGTTGTGCATGAGCTGTGAGTGGTAGAGGCACAAAACACATCACACCTTTATTTATTTCTGCATTGATTGGTTGGCTCAGTATGCAGAGATGTCAACCATGATGGTTTGGGAATAATGTTACAATTGTAAGTTATATTTTGAAGTTATATTTTTTGGGTCATTTTTATCACAACTTGTTTACATATGGTATCACTGAGATAAGACTGTTAATGCACTTATTAGTGAGATTAAAACACTATATAGTGAGAGTACACTGACTAATCTGAGCCATGCTTTCAGTTCACATTGTGTTAAAATATCCATTATTCAAGGTACAAGGTCTCTGATTGGTTATGTTAAAACACACTCAAGTCAATTTAACAATCGAGCTGCAGACAGGAAAGGACTGTCATGATGAACACCACACCCGAATGTAGACATTGAGACACAAGAATGGGAAAGTAGCATTTCAGAATAAAAACAGATTTTGATTGTTGAAAGGAAAGTAGCACTTCATGATAAAACACTACACTATATTGTAGACATTGGAATATATACTGTTTTTTTATTACCAAGTATGATAATACTCTTTATTCATTTTCTTTTGCTCATCTCAGCATTTTTAGTGTTAAATATATCACATGTCTTTGTGCTTGGATAATTCCATTTTCACTGAATCTAACAACATTGTTTGCTTCCAACAGCTGTGGGAGTAAGTTTTTGTGACAACCTCTTCTCTTTCAGAACCACTGAACATCTTTCAAATTGATTGGACGGTGATCGTCACATCATTCTTCACAATGAAGTAATGTTCCATTTTGAAATAAGAAAGGTTATCTGATATGATGAATGAAATCAGAATATATATCTAATTTATTTGCCACATGTTCTGTTGTCAGAGTTTTGATACTTTATAATTATGTTAAGAATAAAGATGCTCATTTCTGACAGAATTTGATGGTCAGCCTCACTACTTATGGACTATTCCTGCCTAGAACTTATGACCTCAATGATAATTTAGTATAACTTTTAACCAAATTATTGGTACATTACCTCTTAATAAAGATCTCCAGTTGTACTGGGTATACTCTTATATTGACATTCGTGAGAAGGTCAAGGTCATCAGAATGTGGAAGGGCATTTGTCATAGATAAAATAGAGCTTACTTGTGCACTGTATTTGCAACATTTTTAGGGCAGTTTTTAATTTTTTGATTTTTTTTGTAAGTAATATGGGTAATTTGAACGTGTGGATGCAAATGAAAAGATTTTAAGCTTACAAAGACATAAAAAGAAAGGTACTATATTCTTTGCATAAGAAAACATCAATTTGATCAGTCATATCACCAGTTAAGTATGTCACTGAGTTTGAAATTCACTAAGGATAAAAAAAGCCTCATAAAATGTCAAGTACTGAAGTAGCAGATTTTGTACATCCTCACCACACAAGTTTTACATCACAGAATAAAGGTGAGCTTCTGTACCTCTGGTTTGGTGATGATTGACAACCGTGACAGTGCTGTAGAAGCTATGATATAGTGGCCAGTATGTATGTCTTGTAGATGGCATGTCATCAAGAATAAGGGCTTTGGGGTTCTCCTTGATGGATTTTCATGTGGTGAATTTCATTTTTTTAAAGGCATTGTGGATATGTGGCATCAGCTTCTGTGATTAGATTTTCTTCAGGGGCGTAGGAACAGGGTGGGGCTTAGCCCCCCCCACTTTTTTCAAGACAAACCATATCTACCTTACCATAACTACAATTTCATTTTGATTTTCAATTCTTTTCATAAATTAGTTCCCCCGCTCTGAAAACCGTTCCTACGCCCCTGTTCTTGTTACAAAAATGACTGAAATAGAGCAGCAGTTAATACACATTGTGTCTGTGAGAGGCATTTGCCTGATCTAGTCTTAGTATCACAATATTTCACCTCTTCATTGTGTCTTTCAAAGATCATCTTGATATTAGACACTGTAATACGTTAATAGTACGTGCAATACACCCTACAGGGCTTTGACATTAAGTGGTTATACATAGGAATGGAGGATCCTTTGGGCCTTTTTTTTTTAATCACATGGTTTACAGATTTTTAAAAAAATTATTAGGTCGGTAGGGAGGGGAAAAATAGGGGAATATGGAGATGTTTTTTGCACACTTGAGTATATCTTATATGCCAGGTGCAGCATGCCAGCTGAGCAGCCTGTGGCATTACCTTTCTCTCTGTTCCACAGGTAAAAGTGAATATGTCTGACTAATCAGCTCAGAGAATATAATATTTGAAAGGTTTAATTTGCTATTTTTTCTTATTTTTCTTTTCTTTTTTTCACTTTCTTTGTTTTTTTATCAGGTAGGAGGCATATAATAGCAAAAAAAAAGGTAAAAACAATTTCTTCTTTTTTTCCACTTTCTTTACATTTCGGGTCAGCAGATCTGTAAACCAAGTAATAAAAAAAGGACTTGTGAGAATAGCTCTAGCAGCTTCTTAAGCATGGGGATGTGATCTGTGTGAAGTCTTCCTGATCTACCGGTGTCCTATGTCATGTCCTCCATTTTAGAAAACTGTGATGATGAATCAGCTACCAGCAGTTTTAAAGAATGTTTGCCTGCAAGATCATCAAAGCAAGGTTTATCAACTCTTTCTTAGAATTTGTCTACAGAGGGTTTATGTTACAGAGAAGTTAACACTTAATAACCCAATGTCTACCTCATCCATAGCACCATTCTTCACTTGCACTGAAAGTTACGGGGTAAGATTTTGACTATGTCTTATTTCTAGTGATGGTAGTTTAAACTGCATGATTACATTTACTGTACAAGATGTTATGTATAATCTGTTATTCACCCTGACTTTGGCAGGTGTTGAAAGCCATGTAGGTAGTGATGTGAAGCAGATCAGAACACTGTTAGATTCAGATTCAACCCCCTGTTCTGCCGCGACATAGGTGGTTGGGTAGCCTAGTGGTTAAAGCGTTCGCTCGTCATGCTGAAGACCCTGTCTGATTACCCACATGGGTACGATGTAGGACCAAACAACTGACCAGATGCTGTTTCCAGTTGCCCACTAAATTGGTCGATTGTGGTTGCAGGGGATGCTAAGAAAATAACATTGTTATCACAATACTGAAAACAGTCCATCATTAAGCACTGGACATAAATTTATGTGTGTGAGTCTCTATGGTGTTGCATTAAATCACAAACACTGATGTTGTTTTTCCACACCTTCTTATGAAGAAGTGATCTCTTTTGAAACAGTTTTAATATACCTGCTAGATGTTGTGTTATATGACATAGTTATATGTTATTATATGTTATTATGAGGGTCTTGATGGGGGATTTTACATGTCAGTAGTCATTAAAATACAGGATCTTTAGTCATCATAAACCTAAATAGGGAACAAGTTGACCGTCTGTTTGTAAATATGGCGACAACTGGTCCTGCTTTTGTTTCTGTACTGCAGTTTGTGTGTTGCACATGCTTATTAACTCTGACTCTGCAAATGCCTAACTGTGACTCTGCAAATGCCTAACTGACTCTGCAAATGCCTAACTGTGACTCTTCAAATGCCTAACTGTGACTCTGCAAATGCCTAACTCTGACTCTGCAAATGCCTTAATCTGACTTGTTTTGTTGTGTCATCAGATCAAGTTGTATGACTGTAGCAATTACAATTAACAGAAAAATTTCAGTTTACTATTTTTAATGGGCATTTTACTTGAATATTTTGAAGTAAAACATTACTTGTATGTTTACTAAAGAATGTATTAAAGTTGCTTTACACATAACAGTACACCCCATCTGGACCCTCTGTTATGCCTTCATTGTATTGTAGTTATATATATTTTGTTCATATTTGTGGAGATGTTTTATAGGTTTCCATTCAGATGAATATATCATCAAGGATGGCAATGTTCGATGGGGCTGCAGGAAACCCATGGACTGGAAACCATATTTGGTAATTTTGGTGAACTGGTTTCAGTTTTATGATTCTCCACCATTATTAATATTTGAAATATCTTTTAGACATTGTCATCCTTGATTATAGTGCTGCATGCTTGTATGACTAATAGATGAGAAAATCCAATATGTGTACATATACTCTTATGTATATATTGTAAGTGCTGCCAGTGGGGTATCCAATTGAAGATGTCTGTGTATTCATGTTTGTCTCGTGTGGTGGTTATATATGACGGAACTATGGAAATATTCAGTACTCAGGCAAACAGAACGGACCGTTCTCATCATTCATGCTGTGAAACTTTTTCTTCATTTACTTGTCCTTGGTTGGTGGAAGTATGGGTGGAAGTATGGTCCAATGGTACAGGGCCCAGTTCCACAAAGCCATTGTAGCGCTAAGATGATGGTAACTCCCATACTTTAACATAGACTTACGACAGTCGTTGCATTACGATTGCTTCGAGGAACGGGGCCCAGGACAGCGTGACTTGCTATGACTATACAAGGGTGCTAGGGTGCTCCAGTAACGTTCAGAATACTGATAATTGGTCTTACTATGACAAACTGGTGATTCTGTGTTTCACCTTCAGGTTGTCGATGTCCATGACACATCTGTGTCTTTCTTCATCCATCAAGCTGACAGTCAGAGCAGTGTGAACCTTCATGTATACTACTCACACTTTGCTAAGGATCACAAAATTCACAACTTTACTTAAACATAGATTTATAATTTGAAATTGTATCCATTTAAGACTGGATAAATAATATGGTAACCCCGCTTTAGGCAAACACTCACTTTAATCTAACCTTATGCACTTGATACATGAGTAACCATGAAAATGGTTTTCATGGCACTAATCAACCATTTCGCAAATCATGGAACTAGTCACTGACAAGTACACAACACCTGTCAGTAGCAGGTATGGGTTCCACAAGATGAAATGACAAACCGAAACCTTGGATCCATGCTTAAATATTTCAACCAAATTTGACCCCACATCATAGTTTTCTGTTGAATCCATGATTTGATCCTTAGCAAAGTTTTTGTGACCTACGATTTTTTTTTTCATTTAGGCCAGACCAATTATATTTTGTGAACCAACAAATAAAAATGTTGTTATGAAGCACAGATTGGGTGGCATTTTTGTTTAGGATTCCAGTTTCCACACATGTCAAATCTTATTTTTATCCCCAGTCTATGAATGTGAAACTGTACCAGCCCATGATTACAAGAAGTATGTGATAGGCTCAAATATTTTGTAGATTTTATACATTTCTGACAGATCAGGGATGTTTTACCATGACATGTCATGGCTAAGTTCATATACTAACTTCATATATTATCCCAAAGATACCTCTTGTATATGTCTGTGACATCACAAACGTTTTTCTTTTCTACACAGCATTATTAAAACACTAGTTATTGAACACATATTGCACTCTTGTCAGTACATATTAGGATTTATATAGTAAATTTTAGATGATAATTTCAAAGTGCTGTTGTCTAATATAATATTGTTTTCCATCCTTGACTGGAGATGTGTTGTATATGGTACTAGAGAGTTGTGATTTCATGTTGATATAGTGTTTTCGGTTCTGTGAACTATTCATGGTCTAACAATATACAACCTGGAATAAAAGAATAGTAATGATCAGTCTTTTGTTGAAATTAGTCATTTAACTGACTTCCTGCTTTGGGTTCATATGAATACTGAACAATGTCTAGTGCCTCATGCTTGACATACCGGTAAGACATAATGTTTATAGTCTGCTACAACTTACAGCATATCTAGAGCAAAGGTGAGAAAGACATTTCAAGTTTCGTAATAATTAGACCACTTAGTCCATGTACACACAATGCCATTTAGAAAGTCGTCATATGTAACACATGTTAAATTTGGGATTACAGTTAATAGTAAAGAACAGATTCTAGTACTTTTGTTGGGTTGACTCCCATCCAGGATTCGAACCCACACCCTCAGAGTCAGGCACCTAATCGCCAGCACACAAAGTTAGCTGCCTAACACGCTCGGCTGCTGCCTTTGTGTGCTGGTAAATAGGTGCCTGACTCTGTGGGTGTGGGGTCATATCCCGTATGGGACTCAACTCAACAAAAGTATTAGAATCTGTACTTTACTATTGCCAATAGTGTAATGCCAAATATAACGTGTCACTTCGTCCATGTTCCTAATAAGGACTAGAGCGGATGGGTAGCCTAGTGGTTAAGGCTCGTCATGCCAAAGACCCGCGTTCGATTCCCCACATGGGCACAATTGTGAAGCCCATTTCCGGTGTACCCCGCCGTGATATTGCTGGAATATTGCTAAAAGCAGCGTAAAACTTCACTCACTCACTCATAAGGACAAATCTCTTGTGAGAGTTGTCTACCCTGCATCTGTGACATTGGTGAAACACACAGGTCATGGATGACAGAGGACATTGCATATACTTTACATCTTTACTGGATTGTGTGGTCCAAAGGCCTTTTCCACAAAACGATCTTGCGTTGCCACGACCTTAGCCAATATAATGTGTGCAAGATACGATCATCTTAGCCCTCAAATCGCTTTGTGGAACAAGGTCCAAGCCATTGCGGAGTGCAGTGTTAAACGACAAACACTCAACAAAGAGTCGAAGTGGTTATTTTTGGTAAAATTGGTATATGTTTTCTGTATTTGTTGCAGATATTCACCAAAAAGACCAAATAAGTGATGTTAACACATGCGTTATCGTGACTGTGGGTGTGAGTGACATGGTTTGGGTTAAACCCTACTTTGAGTACTTCGATCATATGAGTGTCTGCTTCCGGTGGGAGACATGCATTCGTCACCCCTCGCCCCTTTCCGTAACCTGCAAGAAGACATTCGTCACCACTCGCCCCTTTCCGTAACCTGCAAGAAGACATTCGTCACCACTCGCCCCTTTCCGTAACCTGCAAGAAGACATTCGTCATCACTCGCCCCTTTCCGTAACCTGCTATTCGGCTTGTCCCGGAATAACACGAGTTGGTCACGAATGTCTCGAAGTAATGTATAGCATTAAACATTCACAACTTTTGCGAAACTCGCGAACTCAGTTTCCTTCCAAACCAAGATCATAAAGACCCTAAGATCCTGCAACATCCATGGGACGTAACATCCCTCGGGTATTAAATATCTCCTCAATCAAGGTGACGGACAAGTGTTTTGTTTGCAGTATCTGAAATCTCCGTGAAAAAGTGAGTGATTGAGTTTAGTTTTACGCCGCTGTTAGCAATATTCCAGCAATATCACGGCGGGGAACACCAGAAATGGGCTTCACACATTGTACCCATGTGGGGAATCGAACCCGGGTTTTCGGCGTGACGAGCGAACACTTTAATCACTAGGCGATCCCGTTCCCACAAGAAACAAACAATATAATATTCGTCTGATAGGAATTAACAAAAACAACACATAATGGTATGCATGAAAGTGATTAACACCAACAATGGATATTTGTAATTAATGCAGTAACAACTGGAGGAGGTCATCTGTACTTGAGACGGAACAAAATATTCATAGCTGACCAAACGACGAGTAGTAATATAATTTTATCTGTGTGGTCTAGTCGGGCAGGTTGTGAGCTGACACACACTTTCGTTTTTATCTGCAAGGTTGAACACTGCATAGTTCATAAAATAGTTGTGATGTTCATCTCTGTAACACTTCCTTTATCTTGCTCAAGCTGCCTAGTTCAAGACTTTTAGTTACCCAAGAATGTGATAGTCTCATGCTTGATAAGGTGACCCAATTCTGTAGTGACCCAATTGGAGTGTATTTTATGACACGTGGTTTTGCATTTTCTTTTGGGACTTTATCAGTTGCAGTTGAGGTGATCGGACGCCCAAGTTCTACACGAAGGTCAAACCGGTGAGTTAGGTTTTCATTGATGCATCTATATAGCTGCTTCTTGCTCAAGCATCCTTGTGAGGAATCGTGTAAGGACTGAATGTAGTTTAAGCATTTGCTTTAATCACGATTATGTGAATTAAATCTTACATTATCTTATACACGTTACAAGTTTCAATGTATTGACAAGAACGATAAATTATGTGCATCTAATATTAAACTGAGGTTTAACAGTCTGTAAATCGTGCTGATGCTACTTCTGGTGTAATGTTGGGATGTCCTCGAACCCCAAGGTAATATTAAATCCATGGCAATCAAATATTGCATTCCTTTGATACCAAATAAACGAGTAATTACCTTTTGTTTAATTTGTTTAAACGTTGACGTAACATAGAACGTCGTACATAATTCGTATTAATCCGGGCACTGAACGTGAATCTGTTTACCTCGTTGATCCAAAGGGTCGGTGAGGTAGCCTAGTGGTTAAAGCGTGCTCATGACGCTGAAGACCCGGGTTCGATTACCCACATGGGTACAATGTGTGAAACCTATTTCTGGTGTCCCCCGCCGTGATATTGCTGGAATATTCTAAAAGCGGCGTAAAACTAAACTCACTCACTCGTTGATTAAAACGAAACCTGATCATTGTTCAGCTGTGTTCATGGCATTCCTCGAACAATGTAACTGTGTCATCACACCAGACAGTCCTGGTGATTCTGGACCCCAACTGCTGGTTGAAAGAGGCCACTAGATGGATCGAGCCGTCAGGCTTTGGTTTATTCCGGTGTCATCAGACCCCAACTCTGCTCATCGTTGCTCCTCACAGGAAACACTGGATTGTCTGGTCCAGACTGTGACAGACCACCGTGTTACAGCTGGAATATTTGCTGATTGCGGATTAGAAAGATAATATCCCGTACATATTTCAACAGTTTAGTACATTGCTGATATTTCAAGTAATGTGTGAATCCATACTCAAATTCTGCTTTATACCAGGGGATGCCGTAAACAATAGAATTCAGCTATATTCCAAAAGCAAAATAACCCTCGATGACTGAAACACTAACATAGGCGGATCCAGGGGGTGAGGTCCCCATTGAAACTCTCGTGAAAACGGGTGAAAATGAAGTGCCCCCATCCCTTTCTCAAGAGTGTGCACACACAACACACCCCCACCCAACCCCTTTCTCAATAAGCTGTATCCGCCACTGACTATTACTTTCACTTTCACTCAAGTTTACCGTCAAGTCGGTAGATTTGATGACGTTACCCATTACCTTTAAATTTAAGAAAAGGTTCTTCCACGATAAATTAAAATTAATGAATTTGTTCCAAGTGCCTAATGTGTGTTTAGGAGAATGAAGAACACCGGGTATGGGTAATTCAGTGAATGAATAGAACATCTATCCATGACTATATCTATCTAGATGTGTGATTTGGTCTTCATGCTGTCATCCACTGGTTAGTTTCTCCTGGGCCTTGTTACTATGTTCTACAAGACATTACAATATATCGCTGCATGTTCACAGACGTAGTTTTGCTTAAGGTTACGAATGTATAATATTGTAAGTCACGGTTACGTTAATACACTTAATTAAACACTATATCACGATGGAATTAAGTAGAGTCATACATCGCTGAAGGCATTTTCCTGTTACACTCAGAGCATGACCGAATAACGTTAATGTCAGATATTAATATCCCCAGAATCTGTACTTTCCGTCGTATTCATATATGGCGCTTATAGAGCCCGTACAACATATAAGGCTGTTTGATACGAATATGGGGATAGTCGGGGGATATCCAAACAAAACTATTCAAACACTCCGCGAATTTAAACAGCCACGATAAACCGCCATTTCCGGCATTGTTACAAGTAACGTATACCAACAGCGAAGACCATGCGTAGTATCATGGTTCTTTTAGGATCAGAAAAAATGAAACCGCAAAGCAACCTCATTCAGGAAATCGCTTTTTTGATCAGTCTGTCTTCTCCGAAGAAATTTACTTAAAGCCACATGGCAGAAGAAACAGATGTCTTTTTTACATTACATTACATTACATTACATACATTACATTACATGCAGGACAGTTGCCCTATATCTGGGTACTGGCATCGTAGGTGTCCTTATGGGTACTTGTAGGCTACACGGTATTGGAGATTCGTGTCCTTTATGTAGATACTGTTTGGTTTCGTAAAACTAAGGACAGGTGCCCTTTATCCAGGTACTGATTACCACACGGCACTGGAGTCAGGTGTCCTCCATGTAGACACTCGTACATCACGTAGCGCTTGAGACAGATGTCCTCAATCCTGGTGTTGGTAGGTGACACAGGAAAGGAGACAGGTGCTCTTTTAATCTAGATATTGGAAGGTCATGCAACACTAGAGATAGTTGTCCTTATTCTGGGTATTGGCATGCCACACGGCACTGTGAGGCAGGAGTCATTTATCCAGATACTGGAAGGTCACACCGTAGTACAGACAGGTGCCCTTTATCTAGACACCGGTAGATGACGCAGCTCTACAGACATGTGTCCTTAATCCTGGCGTTTGGCAGGCGACACAACACTAGAGACAGGTGTCCTTTATCTGACAAACACATTGTTCACTTGAAGTCTTCTTCGTTATCCCCTTGTCTCTTTTTTTATTTCAAATTCACTACACTGACACGAACACATGTTCTGCCAAAGATATAAACAAATGTGACCACTGTACTTATTTGCCATGAAAACAAATTTGTTTCAGCCAATCATGGACACCCAGAAATACCGAGACGCTAGCCTGAAGGCAGTCAACTGCCTCATTTCCCAGATGGACGAGAACGCCCTCTATCAACAAGAAGGACTTAAAGGGGAGTTCTCTGCTCTTTACAAGCTGCCAACACAACTCCTTTTGTGGGGAAAGCAAGAAATCGCCAACAAGATCTTTGACCACGTAAAGAAGAACGTCCTCCAACCTAACGGTGACTTCTATTCCTACCCTGAGAAGAAGGGATGGGAGAGAAAATGCTGTAACCCCCTCCTTGCATACAACTGGCCATATATCAACGGGTGGATTGCAGTGGCTGCTCAGAGGGGTGGCAGATTCGACATCTCTGTACCAGCCTTCAACTACATCAGGACCTTCTATGACCCAGTCCAGAAAGGCTTCCTCTGGAACCAGCCCTATAACCCGGATGTGGACACTCTGGAACAGAGCCTCTGTGCCTTCATGTGTGGACATCTTGGTTACACGGCACTGTTCTGTGGAGGTGGGTGTCATGGTTTAAGTAGTCACGTCATTAGTCTGGCTTGATGATACAAAATATTCTGGCTAAGAAAAAATATCATTGTATACGAGGACAAAATTTGCTATCATCATGATTTTTTTTTATCCTATCGTTAATTTAGATTTATATAACTAAAGATTTAAGACTAAAATGTAATGAAACGTAATACATTATGAAAAATATATGAAACGAACAGTGAAAATCAGTAATAATACCAGAGGTTCTCGAAAAATGAAACTAAAAACTACAAAACCTTTACATATTCATAAGAAATTTTGAATCTCAGCTAAATGCTGTTCGATTCCGAATATGTCATAAGCATGTGGATATATATCTTTATGAAGTAGTGATCATACCAGGTGTTCGCGAACAAGTGGGCGTATCTTACCCCATCACGTTGCCCCCGTCAGAAGTGCCTGGAAATGCACGTGTTGCTCTGCTAGTAGTAATAATTGAAATCAAGTGCTAGTGAGCATCGAGGAGGGACATCAGTGTAAACTTCATAGCATTGAGACGTGTATTTACTAAATTGCTGTGAATGTCTCCCATACAATTTCTCGAATGATTTAATCCGTTCTTTGGTGATAAAACTTTGACTGACAAGATAGCTCAGTCTTTCAAACATTCTGTTCCCTCCTTTCTCGGCTAGACATGGAGGTAGCTCGTAGCACTGGTGACACTCTGATCAGATTCATGGACATCCAGCCCAACCTGGACGAGGAGTTCCTGATGAAGATGGACAGCAGAGGTCAAATCATCAAATCCGGTTGGCCCGAAGATAAAGCTGTCTTCTTCCGGATCAAGAGGAAGCAGTCCCCCAATCTCTTCTATCAGCTCGGGTTTCCTGCAATCTTGCTGGCTAAACTCTACCTCGCAACCGGTAAGTACATAACTGGGGTTTCGTTCAAATCTTGCTGGCTTTGCTCTTGCTTGCCACCGTTAAATACAATATTGATCAACCGTTAAGAGCTTAGTGTAGCACAAATATAGTAGAAAACATGAACCATAAATAGGATTAGTAGTCAATTCGCCGATTCCAGTTATAACACGTTCTGTTTGCAGAAGCCATAACGTAATACATGTCAAAGAGGGTGGAGCATATGTTATGGTACCTATAAACCAAGTACCAAGAAACTGGGATTCGAACTCTTCACGCACCTTGCAGGAATGGACATAGATACTCACCATCTGTCGACTGCTTTAGACAAATGTTCAAACGTCCGATTCAATTCATATTTCTCCTCACTGATTTTTAGCGACCCATTCATATAATGTCCACTGCAATATTACCCTTTACGCCCCCAAAATATAATCTTCTTCGCGGAATATCAAGAATGGTTAATGCATGGCGCTGTTATATATCTAAAAATACATGATCGGTATTCTCTTTTACAATTTATGTTTCTAAGTAGAAAAATAGAATAGCTTCATAAAAACTTAAATAGAGATTCTAATCTAGCTAACATCGTTTCACGCAGGTACGAAGCGTTACCTTGAAGGAGCCAGACGCTATCTGGACTTCGCCTACTCGTGCGGAGAGTCACTGTACTCCTTCATAAGAGTCACAAGGTTGCATACGGAGCATCACTCGTGGCCGCCATCACAAAGGAGGAGAAGTATGCAACCATGGCAACAAGAATATCAGACTTTATCATGTCTACGAGGACAGACAGCGGCATGTTTCTGTCGTCGTCCCCGCTTCTGGAGCGCTTCGACCAGACGGCCGAGAACATCGGCTGGATGAGAGAGATCTCCGTCGAGCTGGAGTCCTATCTCAGGCGTTAACACGGCATTTCCAGCATCTTAAATTTGACATTTTCAGATCTAAATGTTACATTTCTTAGATTTTGTATTGTTTCTAAGTTTTCTATTCAAATTCATCTGTTCGGGGTTTGGAATTGGATTCTAGTTAGCTGTAGCCAAACGAAGCTGGATACGATTTTGCTTTTTTCAGAAATTGGAATTATTGTCATTGGGAACAATATATCTGAATTCTGTCGAAATGGTATAATTATTCCAGAAAGTCAGTTACGGCAAATTTGTATGTTTTCAAATTGTGCATAGCCGAATCGATGATTGTTTCATGGACATGATTTATGTTTAGTGTGGAACATATAGTATGCTTGACATGCGCTGTGTGTATTTGGCTGGATCATACTCCATGCCGGGATTACATTGCCCTGTGTTGATTGGATCATGCGACCCACTCCGGCTGTATCGGTAAACGTGATATAACATTGTATACTTATGTTTACCAATCACCATTGTGACTTGAGTTGTACTTTTGTTAAACAAAATCATCAGAGCGTAAATAAAAGCTACAAAACCCTTTGCACGTCCGTAAGAAATATCTGCTAAAACAGATTGTACAATTCCGACCATTTCATGAGTATTCGTTTATGAATTAATATCAAACAGTGATGATATTAGGTGTTCTCGAAAAGGTGAGCGTAATCTGTCCCACCCGTCATAAACACATGCAAAGGCTAGTCAATTGTTCACCTCATTTTTTGTCCTGGGATGCCTATTTGTTTTCTAAACGTTTTATTCCAAATTTCAACGGAGAGTCCAGTACACTTCAAATGACACTTGCTTTTAATTTTGACAAAATCTCCTGAATACGTAAAGATAGACTATATATATATATGTTCAACGCATTTATTACCAAATGCCCCATGGATCAAGGAATAAAGAGGCCTAAATCTGTTATCCACGTGAAGTAATGGAGGCGAACGAGAACACTTTTAGTACTGCAGGTATCTCCACCTTGACCCCGCCGATTGTGACGGCTTCTGACATCAGCCAGATCAGCAGTAATCATAACAGACTTTGTTACGAGCAACTCTTTTGTTCTTTTATCAGGTGACTTGAACCTAATCTGCGTGGAGGTATACGATGTTCAACTAAAAACCCTTTGACACAACAACTGTTGTCAAGACAGTAGTGTCATCTCACAGTGTATATTTGTTTGTTGTTTAACGCCGCACTGGTCTGTAAATAATCGAGTCTGGACTAGGCAACCCAGTGATCAACAGCTTGAGCATCGATCTACGCAATTCGGACGTATGTCTTGAAAAATAATTATATCCAGAATTACTGGGCTCCCACCATGTAACGCGTTACTACAAGTAAGAGATTGTAGGTTCAATTAAGTTTGAATCCAACCGTCACCGAAACTACAATTCGATTGTCTGAAACCGATAACCCATTATATATGGTACTAATTAAGACTTAAACTGAAAATTGACGCCGAGACAAGATAGTAGTCCCCCTCACATTCATGAACGTTAATACGTCTTCTGTTACAAAATGGACATCATATCCTAACGATGTAGATAGATGCTCATGCTTTTGATCACTGGATTGTCTGGCCCAGACTCGAGTATTTACAGACCGCCGCCATATAGCTGGAATATTGCTGAGTGCGGCGTAAAACTAAAGTCACTCACTCAGACAGTGTAAATACCAACTGAGTGAGTCTGATCGGCCTGATGCTCATGACGTCAATCACTAGATTGTCTGGTAGAAATCTCGATTATTGACATTCCGCCTTCATAGGTGAACTAAATTGTCTGGAGGAAATCTCGATTATTGACATTCCGCCTTCATAGGTGAACTAAATTGTCTGGTAGAAATCTCGATTATTGACATTCCGCCTTCATAGGTGAACTAAATTGTCTGGTAGAAATCTCGATTATTGACATTCCGCCTTCATAGGTGAACTAAATTGTCTGGTAGAAATCTCGATTATTGACATTCCTGCCTTCATAGGTGAACTAAATTGTCTGGAGAAATCTCGATTATTGACATTCCGCCTTCATAGGTGAACTCTGGTAGAAATCTCGATTATTGACATTCCGCCTTCATAGGTGAACTAAATTGTCTGGTAGAAATCTCGATTATTGACATTCCGCCTTCATAGGTGAACTAAATTGTCTGGTAGAAATCTGATTATTGACATTCCGCCTTCATAGTGAGAAATTGTCTGGATCTCGATTATTGACATTCCGCCTTCATGGAGGTGAACTCAAATAGGTTCCGCATTCCGCCTTCATAGGTGAACTAAATTGTCTGGAGGAAATCTCGATTATTGACATTCCGCCTTCATAGGTGAACTAAATTGTCTGGTAGAAATCTCGATTATTGACATTCCGCCTTCATAGGTGAACTAAATTGTCTGGAGGAAATCTCGATTATTGACATTCCGCCTTCATAGGTGAACTAAATTGTCTGGTAGAAATCTCGATTATTGACATTCTGCCTTCATAGGTGAACTAAATTGTCTGGTAGAAATCTCGATTATTGACATTCCGCCTTCATAGGTGAACTAAATTGTCTGGTAGAAATCTCGATTATTGACATTCTGCCTTCATAGTTGACAAAAATTGTCTGGAGGAAATCTCGATTATTGACATTCCGCCTTCATAGGTGAACTAAATTGTCTGGAGGAAATCTCGATTATTGACATTCCGCCTTCATAGGTGAACTAAATTGTCTGGTAGAAATCTCGATTATTGACATTCCGCCTTCATAGGTGAACTAAATTGTCTGGTAGAAATCTCGATTATTGACATTCCGCCTTCATAGTTGACAAAAATTGTCTGGAGGAAATCTCGATTATTGACATTCCGCCTTCATAGGTGAACTAAATTGTCTGGTAGAAATCTCGATTATTGACATTCCGCCTTCATAGGTGAACTAAATTGTCTGGTAGAAATCTCGATTATTGACATTCCGCCTTCATAGGTAGACTAATGGTGGGTGTAGTGTTAAACAACAGAACAAACAAAAGGTTGGTGGCGAATAAACACCTTGACACGATGGACATGTCCACATGAAGCGCTCATGTCCATTATGTTTGTGTTCAAAAAGTCAGTCAGCCAGGGTGAAGGTCATTCCAGTCTGTCCTAGTAGTGATCCTAGGGAGATAACAGGTTAGGTCGGTCAAGGTTACTCAACTTACATCCGATAAACATAACACAACACACACAGGGCCAACACTAGACTGGTCTCAGTCGCCTGTTCAAAATCAAAATATTCGTCATAAATTGTGATATAAATATATGCATCATTTAGAAGAACTCTTTTGTCTTGTTAACACTTTGATAACCCGACTGTTAACAAATAATTATTGTGATGATTTAGCCTGATAGGTAGAAATTAACGCTGATCAGGGGGCGAAGATAGATGTTTTCTCAGACACCTACTTATATAGTATTAGCCTTCAGTGCGAAAACATCTTAGAGTGATTGAGATTAGTTTTACGCCGCACTCAGCAATATTCCAGCTATATGACGGCGGTCTGTAAATAATCGAGTCTGGACCAGACAATCCAGTGATCAACAGCATGAGCATCGTTGTACGCAACTGGGATACGATGACATGTGTCAATCAAGTCAGCCAGCCTGACCACCTGATCCTGTTAGTCACCACTTACGACAAGCATGGGTTACTGAAGATCAATTCTAACTCTGATCTTCACGGGTGAAAACAACTTGGATAAGGAAGGCACTTAAGAGGGACGAATACCAGATGATCGAGGTAGAGCACGGTGTGGCCATCCGTACTGTTAGTTACAAGAGAACCTCCATAATCTGAAATCAGGACAAGGCCCGAAGTGGTGCATGGTAAACCAAAGCGACCTTAGTACTACGACCATCGCAACTCCTCATAGGCTACTTCAACGTACACGATGTCATAGCGCTAAGATCATTTTGTGCAAGTGGGCCCAAGTCCAGGATGTTTTATCAGCATGGACATCGTGCTGATAAACCAAGGATTATTATCAACGGGGAAGGCGGCAGTCACACACGATCCTATGGAATCCTGGAAGAGCATTGTCGCGTTGTCGCCCTCGCCCTCTCAAATACAAGCAAAATGAGGCAAAATAAACCAAAACGCGACAATGCGACAACGCGACATTTCGCCCATTTGTCGCATTGTCGCGATGTCGCGTATCGCGTTTTGGTTTATTTTGCCTCATTTTACTTGTTTTTGAGAGGGCGACAATGCGACAACGCGACAATGTCCCTTCTCGGATTCCATACGATCCTGGTACGAAGAAGTTACGTAAGTCTGCATTGCGAACTGTGCCCCTTAAACTAACTAGCGACAGAGACCAACACGTGGCACTGGAAAGCAGATGAAGTAACCTTGTGTTTTCGTCTTCGTAATGCACGAGCAACGACAAACGACAACGACAAGTCAAGTCAATATGTAGACATATACACAGCGAAGACAGTTTCATAAAAAAATACTCAAGTAAATATGTAAATCGTGGATTTATTGGACGCTTGCAAGGCCCATAGAGGCCACATGGTATGGTGCCATCGTCGATCAGTACATAGTAGACTCATATATACAAACACAAACTGAAAAGCTATTTAGACTTCGCTGAAACAGGACATGTCATTATAAACTATAACACACCTATTTTATGATTGTAGCAAGGTTACTCCTATTTGGCAAAATCTTGAAAACTGGCTTAACAATACTCTGGATGTAAATTTGAAGTTCACCAAAGAACAAATTTTGCTCGGATTCGGCCAGAAAAATAATGATCCAATCAACGTGATTCTTATCCTTTTCAAAAATATCATCTTTAACTGTAAAATATCATCTTTAACTGTAAAAATATCATCTTTAACTGTAAAAATATCATCTTTAACTGTAAAATATCTAAGCAGATACCAACCTTTCAGTTTTTACAACAGGAGATAAAAAAATATTATGAACTAACAAAATATTCTGCTATGATATGTTCAAGAATCGAATTCTGGTCGATCTGCCACAGTCTGTTTTCTGAATGATGTTTTAACTTTTGCTATTCTGTATGATGTCTTCAAAATTAAAATCTATAATATGTATTTAAACATGACTGGAGTCCATGTACCAATGTAAAAATGGAAAAAATAAACAAATTATAAAAAAATAAAATAAAATAAAACGCAAACTGTATGTTAACAGCAAACGTTCGGGTGCCTTCAATTTTCACAATTCTCTTATAATATTTCGAAGGAAAAAGTTGTAAATATTGTCATTTTCATATTTGTCATAGCAACACACGTGTATAAAAGTGAACCTAATCCTGCTCAAACACATCAAATTCCACAAACATTTCTCTGTACCAACCCGCGTTTTCTGATGTCTGATCAAATGTGTCCAGAATCGGGCACTCTGGCAAGAAGCGTCCATCTTCCCCCTGATGACCGAGGATGCTGTCAGCGATTGTTTCCGCCATCTTCTTATACTTCTCCTCTTTTGTGGCCGCAGCAAGAAGCCCCGTCCCGTACATCACCTTGTGGCTCTTGTTGTAGGTGAGGACATCGTTGTGGCAGGAGTGAGCAAAGTCAGCAACCTTCTTGGAGTACTCGAGGTAGCGCTGTTCACCAGTGGCGAGGTACAGCTTGTACAGGAATATGATTGGGTAGCCGAGCTGCCAGTACATCTGACCCCCCTCTTTCCTCTTTACGATGAAGAAGAGAGTCTTCTTGGGGTCGTCGCCCCAGCCTTCTGTGACCACCTCTCCCTTGTCACCTGAAATCTTCATATACAGCCCCTCGTCCAGGTTGGGCTGGCCGTCAAACGCTTTGATGATAGCGTCCCCAGTTGACCTCGCCTTCTCCAGGTCTGCGTGTATTAGGACAGAGGTTATTGCAATGGCTCGTTCGTGAAATACGTAAGCAACATATGTGAGCAATGAGGATATGGTGTTTAATGCCGTTCTTATCAATACAATATATATAAGTGCTATCAAAGTGGCATATGGATTCACTCAGCAATATCCCAGCTATATGGCTGCGGTACGTATATAATCGAGCAACAGACACTTTGCGCGTTTTGGGGTACGATGACATGTGTCAACCAAGCCAGCGAGCCTGACCACCCGATCCTGTTAGTCGCCTTTTACGACAAGCATGGGTTGACGACCAGTTTATATAAAATACGTTGCAATCGTTTCCGTCTCATTTGGCGGTTCTATCCCATTAAACATGCTTATGTTCAAGTATGTAAAGCATATAGGAGAAACTTATCTCAACGAGATACGTTAAAATCAAGTGTACGGCTTGTGTTTTACAGATATATATCAACGTTTGCTTGTGTTAATGACTATAAATGTAGCACATTTTAGGGGGGTATAATTCACATTGTACATGCCTCTTAGAAACATCATCAACCGATCGTGCACCCCACCCCTAGCCATGAATTATGAACGGTCCCTCAGGTAAAACTAAGCGACAAATCAACAGGTACCAGTACGTCGCAGTAACTAGAACGCTTAAGTTTAGGTTAAATGACCATGATCTACCTCCAAAGAACAGACAGGTAAAGCCCAGGTGAGAGTTGAGGAAGATACAACTGGATTGGTCCACGCCTTTCCCCTCCTTGGCAGCATCGTACGGCTCACACCAGTTGAACGCCCCCAGAGTCGGGTTCCAGAATGTCTTCAGATAGCTGGGGATAGGTGAGAGAGTGACTTTAGCTTAACCAGACTGTTTGGCAACATATCATGGCGTTACATACCAAAAATGGGGAATCGAACTCTGGCATTTAGCGTGACGAGCGAACCCTGCTGGAGATAACGGTGAGACTATGTGTTCACAGAGATACAGCGAAATCGTAGATACACTTATCAAATACTAAGCTGTTAGTGGTTAATACTGGAATTTGCTGTGTTTTGTGTGTTCATCGTCTACCGCTGCACTAATATTTCGGCTGTATGACGGCAGTCTGTGAAATAGAGACAATCCAGTGATTGACAGCACAAAGAATGATATACGACCCTCCGATGACGTGCACCAACCTTGTCAGCGAGTATGACCATCATTCCCGTCAGTTGCCAATTACGACAAGCATTGTTACCATTTTACACACCTCGTCCTGAAGACCATCATAACCTGGATCTCACAAGGGGAAAATGTCCGTGTGCACACAGACTAATGCTTAATATGCACAATTTGATAGAAATAAATATTTTCATGTCAATTGAAAATGAGCCCAAGTGAGATTGGGAACCTGATGAAATCTGGACTTGCTTCATGTCGGGCTTTAACACTGCAGAAAAGGTTGGACGGAATGGACAATGATGCGTATCGGGGAGTGTGAGATCACACAGAGTGTAATCTGACTAAACTAGACTTCCGTAGGACGGCAAGTTTAGTCAGGCTAATCTGCAAGTAGTCATCGTTAGCCTCCTTGCCATGTTAGCCAATGAATCCACATCAAAAGAAAGGCGAATAGACCTACTTGAAGGATGGGTATGAGATGTCGAATCTTCCCGCCTTCTGCGCAGCCATACAAATCCAGGCGTTGACGTACGGCCAGTTATAGGTCACGTGCCAGTCACTCGTTTTCCGCTCCCAACCGGTTTTCTCCGGAAAAGAAAGAAAGTCTCCGTTTGGTTGCATGAAGTTCTTCTTCAGGTTGTTGAGCAGTCGGTTGGCCTCTCTTGGTCTGCCATCGAGAAGTAGTTGGTTGGGCAGTTTGTACATGGAGTCGATGTCGTACCGGACGTCCTCCCCAGTGAACTGCCCGTTCTCGTCCAGGTTGGAGGACATGAACTTGACTCCTTTACGGCTGGCATCAATATACTTCTGGTACTTCGCCATCTTGGATTATTGGAAGACTGAAAATAAATTGCTTTCAATTTTCTTTTTCGTGGACCCATGTGAGAATTTCGAATCTGTTTGGCTATCCAGACTTTCATAAATTCACATCCAACGACGTTTGCATTTTGGAAATATTTTGGAATATCTTTAATATATGGACACGCCTCCTGCCACAACATTCCCAAATGAGTGAGTAAAGTTTTACCCCACTTTTATAAGTGTTCCAGGAATATCACGGCTAGGTAGCCCGAAAATCGGCTTCACTCATTGTACCCATGTAGGTAATCGAACCCGATGACGAGCGAACCCTACCACCCTTAACCCGTTCAAATGTACTACAGGTTTAAAAGAAATATGTAAAGGTAAATACTACGAGATTAAATTGCATCGAGTGTCTCATCGTTCATTATCGCTAGTCGGGACAGTACTTCGCAGGGTCGTAAGTTACACATGGGTCATCATTAGATAATGATTCATAGACACAAGCTTATGAAAGTGTGGGAATTGCACAATCGACACTGCTATTGGCAGAGAATTCTTACGTATATGGAACGGGTTTTCTGGCTTTTATTCAAACTTTTACCCAGTTAAAGTATCACGATTGGATCCCTCTTGTTTGAGGGTAGACTGCGCCATGGTTTACTTTGGTCAAATCAGCGATAATGTCCAATCTCACAGATAGGGAGTATCTCACGGACATTGTCACGGAATGTCTTCAAAACAATGGTGTATCTTCAGGGTACAGTCACGGATTATGCTTGGAGGACAGACACGGGCTGTCTTGAAAGTATATTCACAGGGTATCTTTTAAGTATATACACGGTGTATTTTCAAAGTATATCGTTGTAGATATTCTTGGTAGCCAGTGTTACATATAACTGGACTTCTTCATTTATTACGTGAACTGAGGTGGGTCATGGGTGTTGGTCATGGATTCAAACATTATATCAGCCTCCATTTGTTGGGGGCGGTGGGTAGCCTAGTGGTTAAAGCTTTCGCTCGTCACGCCGAACACCCGGGTTCGATTCCCCACATGGGTACAATGTGTGAAGCCCATTTCTGATGTCCTCCGCCGTGATATTGCTGGAATATTGCTAAAAGCGGCGTAAAACTAAACTCACTCACTCACTCTATTTGTGGCTTTTGTCAATGACAATGTCACTAAACTGGTTAACTATTTTACGTGAACCACTTTCCTTCTACGTAAAGCTGACAAGCCGTGAAATATATGAAATATATCAAATAGTGAGTACACTGAGAAATAGAATACAATAGTGACAAAGAGGATAATAGTGACAAGTAGGATGAGATAGTGAGAAATAGAATGTTATACATACATACATACTAACATTTGTATAGCGCCGATATCCAGCTCAGCTGTGCTTCTCAAAGGCGCTTTGTTTTTCCTTCGTTCACTGGATGTCAATCTCAACGGCACATCGTATTGTCAATCTCAACTCCCTGGGGAGCATACAACTCTTGCAGCCACTAGGCGCACCGAGTTATTGTGGCATTCCCATCCTTACGAGTTACCCATTCACAGCTGGGTGGACTGCGACACATAGTCACAGTACTTTGTCCAAGTTTACTGTTATCGAGAGATACAGCCTGACATACTGAGGTAGAGTGAGTGAGTATGGTTTTACGCCGCTTTTAGCAATATTCCAGCAATATCACGGCAGGGGGCACCAGAACTTGGCTTCACACTTGTACCTATGGGGAATCGAACCCAGGTCTTCGCTTGGCGAGCGAACGCTTTAACCACTAGGCTACCCCACCGATATAAACTTAAAAAAACTAGGGGCCAAAAGGGGCCTACTCACTCACTAAGTGGGACTTGAAACAGGAGACCCGTGACAGGCCAAGATTACGTAATGAAATATACTTTCACAAATGGAACTGACAAGTGTTACATCGTATTAATCTACACAGAAACAAGAAAACGATACTTTCAAAGTGGTTTCATAATTAGAAAATGTACCAGATGTGCACCTCCCTCCTGATTTAAGTTGGCTAACACATACCTTTACTCCTACAGGGAGACTGTAAAGGAGAGGCTGAAGGAGGTGTGATAAAGACTTATATACATCCCTGTAAACCTTTATCTTATCACTGGTTACACGTAAATGAATGTATGTATATGAACGTTGTATTAGATAATGTCCTCAGACATTTAAGAGCAGTAACACATTACATAGTCGTCATCTTGTGTCGTTGAGAATCATAGCTAGCTTTGCGATTATGGTATAGTAGAAAGGCCATGTACAGTTTGGTGAAAGATTGCACATTAAATATGTATTGTTCCATTATTTGACCTTAAACATCCAGATATACTGGATACGATAGCCATTGGCCAAATACATAACTACATAGCGATGTAGCTCATCTGATTATATGAGTATGAGAGTACGAGTGACCACGTAAAGAGGTTCATGGAAAAGTTATAAAAAACAAAAACAATATATACACACGGAAAAAAGTATCGCCACACTCCATAATTTTCATAGTATCAATGTGTAACCATTAACTAGAGCAAAGGACCCCAAACCTCAATTTAACTTATTATCTGGATAAAATGAGAGTCAAGGAAAAATAAGATTGTAACGTAAATGCAAAAGAACGAAAAACTCATTTTGTAGTGTTGACTATGGTCGTATGACGTTATCAAGAGATGTCATTTTCAAGATTCAGATTCAGATTCCATCAATGAACCCCTGCCAAACGGTACTTGCTCCAAGATATTCCGTTGTGCTTTAGCACTGCTTCTGCTATGCCAAACACGAGCTTGGCCATCAGTCATAATACTATGAAATCGACTTTCATCCGACCAGTGGACCCTTCCCCATGACGTCAGATTCAAGTGCCGTCGAGTTTGACACCAGGCTAGCCGTGCTATTTTGTGATCTGGGGAAAACAGCAGACGTCTGATTGGTCGTCAAACTCTTCACACGGCCGATTTTAGACGATTTCGGACAGTTCTGTTCGACAAACGAGGACGTGGAAGCTACCCTGAACATGCCTCTTAATATGAACGGAGGGAGTTGAGGAGGTCAAATATTTGCTTATCGACAACGAAATCAACTGATCTCCCATGTTATCGAGCTGTAAGAAGTTTTCTGAAACTTGATATTTGCAAAATTATTGCGTATTGCACGTAATCTGAGCCTTTTATCGTAGCACGTGTATATCTAATATAAATGTACGTTTAAAAATATTCATACGAGCGAACATTAATATTATATGAATATAAAGGACTATGTGGGTGTTAAAAGTTATTGCTGTTGCGATACTTTCTTCATTGTGTATGATTCAATAAATCGGTTCCAAATAGGCAAATTTCATCAACTCTGAGTGAGTGGGTTGGGTTTTACCAATATTCCAGCAATATCACGACAGGGGACACCAGAAATGGGCTTCACACATTGTACACATGTGGGGAATCGAACTCGGGTCTTCGGCGTGACGAGCGAACGCTTTAACCACTAGGCTACCACATCGCCCCATTGAAACAATGTTATGCCTTCCGCCAATAGGTGATACTGGTACTTATAGCCTTGACACAGATATATTTTGAGACGCCTAGGACGTTACCTATAGCAACAGACAGGTCAAGATGGTTTGCCACAAGTCCTCTCGCCATCAGTTTTGCTGAGTATGACAGATACGAGATATCAACACCCTCTTTACGACCGATATCTATTGTCTGATCTGTTATCACGTATATCCTCACACTTATCTTCACTCTTGACATGTATACAGTCACCTTGCAGTATATGCGATGTTTGACAACACCCAGCACCTCCTGGGCATGCTTTGAAAAAGAAGGTACTACATATGTAATTATCCCCATCTCGGTGTCTTATCCTTTATCAGGGCGGTGGGGTAGCCTAGTGGTTAAAACGTTCGCTCGTAACGCCGAAGACGCAGGTTCGATTCCTCACGTGGGTACAAAGTGTGAAGCCCATTTCTGGTGTCCCCCGCCGTGATGTTGCTGGAATATTGCTAAAAGCGGTGTAAAACTAAACTCACTCACCCTTATCCTTTATTTCAATGTTACCCGTGAAGGTCCAGGTTAGAATTTATCTTCAGTAACCCATGCTTGTCGCAAGAGGCGACTAACGGGATCGGGTGGACTTGGTTGACTTCGTTGACACATGTCATCGGTTCCCAATTGCGTAGATCGATGCTCATTCTGTTGATCACTGGATTATCTGGTCCAGACTCGAGTATTTACAGACCGCCGCCACATAGCTGGAATATTGCTGAGTACGGCGTAAAACTAAACTCACTCACTTTATTTCAATGTCATAACCTATATTCCATAATATTTTCTGAAAACTTCATCCTATGCCTCAGTATATCATACTTAATTCAGTGCATTATCATATATCACAGTATATCATGCTGTGATATCAAGTGTGGAATGAGACAGGATTTGGAAAGTGATTGCGTTAATGAGTATTTTATGTCCTTTTTCGTCAGCTGAGTATATACGGCTTTTCCATTTGACTCGAGCTCGGTCACATGACCTTGAAACTGACGTTCAAATGCTTATGAAAAAACAGAGTTTTGAACAATGTCACGAGTGTATGTTATTGCATTGTCATATGGGAATTCCCTTGCCCAAACGAATACAGAAATGGTTTTCATTTTTTATCATTTCTTTTCGACATGGTCACAAAATAACATGATTACAATGAACGAAGGTTTTTATTCGGACGCATTGTCGTGAAATATTATAAAACTTGTAATGATTATTATTAGTCAAAACCAACTTCCGTAGCTGTTGCGTGTTGAATGAAAAACAATTGTTTAAAAATACCGGTACCACATGATGGTTGACGGACTTCATATTCCCCATCACCCTGAGTACGGCCACCTCGCAGTGAAGTAGTGGCGTGCATCTGATTTATCGTGCAGCAAATTTATCAGACTAGGTATTTCTCTCAGACCTTAAAGCAACCATTTTCTTTGCATGAATATTGAGAGAATCCCACAGCCACCTCATATCTTTGCAATTTGTCGTGTAGAGTATTTTGCGATTCTTGCCACAGGCTCTCGTGTCCTTACGAAGCATTCGTAACTACTCGCCTCTTTCCGTGACCTACAAGAAGGTAGATCCATGAAGACTTGCCGGAATGACACGAGTAGTTACGAATGCTTACGAAGATGAAATATTTAAAAAATAAATTTTGAGATGACCCCCGACACGAAACGCTACACAGTACAATACATTACTAGTATGTCATGATGTATTGTACTGTGAAGCATTTCGACTCGGGGGTCATCTCAATATTTTCTATATTTTTCATAACATCTTTAATACTCGCAAAGACACGAGGGCCTGTGATTCTTGCATGAGAAAAAACAACCTTAGCATTGATCTGGGAGTTTGTACTCTCAAGTCTAGTCCACAATCCGCTCGCGCCAGGTTCATGCCATTATAATATATAACATCTGCGACGCCGTACTGACATAGCACGTGCTGCATTTGGGAGGTGGAAAACTATAAACAATTCAAGGTCAACGACAAAAAAACACCAGACATGGGCTCTAAACATCTGGTTTGGTGGAGAAATACAAAACGACGCACATAAAGATATAATTCACCTTGGACTATAGATGCGCATGAAGCACAGCAGTAAGACAAATATATAGATAATCAAATCCATTCATTAAACATTCCATGAAAATATTACCATTTTCCTAGAGCATATTACAAATTTTAAAATTTTAAAAATAATAACATTTATGAAACGTCTAACTATCCGGATTCTGAAAACATTTCTTTTAAAAAAAACGACTCAACCTAGATGGATGAATATTAAACACATGGTATTGAGAATTTCTGTGAAACAAAATAACTTTGATATTACGGGTGAACAAATTAGTAGTAGTCAAATCACTTAATAGAACTGCATCAGCTGGGTTGAAAATGATCGTATCGTTTATACTATCGGCTTATCAGCACCATTATAAACCGACTTTTTAAACTTTATTTTCCATTAAAATAATCGCAGATTACCGGCTAAGTGGAATGGAAGTTCAATGGAAAAACAACAAAAGAAATCCATTTAATTCTAATATATATATATTGTTTGTTTGTTTGTTGTTTAACGCCGCAATCAGCAATATACCAGTTATATAGCAGCGGTCTGTAAACAATATAGTCTGGACCAGACAATCCAGTGGTCAACAGCATGAGCATCGATCTGCGAAATTGGGAACCGATGACATGTGTTAACCAAGTCAGCGAGCCTGATCACCCGATCCCGTAAGTCACCTCTTACGACAAGCATAGTCGCCTTTTGTGGCAAGCATTGGTTGCTGAAGACCTATTCTACCCCGGATCTTCACGGGTGTTATCTATACTGAGTCAAAAAAGAAACTTCACAAAATGTAATTTGAAAAATAAAGAATAATTTTTCTCTGATGATACATCTATGTATCCGAAATGGGATCCCTATCTTTCGACTCTAGAAAAACGTTAGCAAAACCCACTCAAACCCATCCATTCCTCGTGCAAATGAAGTTAGTGCCAAATCAGGATTTGCACGTGCAGTCGATCACGTGATCTTCGCATCGAAGTTTTCTTCATATGCACGTGTTTGCATTGGCCTCAAGAATTGAAAAAACACTTTTAAACCACAGTTCTAACGGTACTTGAAATGCCACGATTGTCAAATGTGCAACGTAAACGTGCCGTTGGCATGTTGCAAGCGGGAAGATCAGTTATTGACGTCGCAAGAGCAATGGGATGCAGCCGTCGTACTGTGTATGACTTGCGAGGTCGTCTACAACAAACTGGCACCACTTCTGATCGCCCAAGGTCGGGTCGCCCACGTGTGACGTCACTAGCAGAAGACCGTCAAATCGTCTTACGTCACCTCTGTGACAGATTTCTGCCGGCTACGCGAACCAGGGCTGAGATGTTTAGAGGTCGACGGTCCTCACAGACCATTCGAAATCGGTTGCGGGCTGCCAATCTCCATTCTCGACGTCCATATCGTGGGCCAATATTGACGCCGTTTCATCAACGTCAACGTCTGCTGTGGGCCCAACGTCACCTCCGATGGACCCAGAGAGACTGGAATCGAGTTGTCTTTAGCGATGAATCCAGGTTTACCCTCAGATTTGCGGACGGCAGACATAGAGTCTGGAGACGACGTCGTGAACGGTATGCCCAATGTTATGTACAGGAAGTCGACAGATTCGGGGGCGGAAGTTGCATGGTGTGGGGTGCTTTCTGTGGGAACAACCGTTCCCGACTTCTGGTCATCCGTGGAAACCTCACAGCTGCTGCTTACCGCGACCAGGTGCTCACCCCTGAACTCGTTCATGGCGGCGCATGGCCCAGGTCTACAGTTCCAGCATGATAATGCTCGGCCGCATACCGCGATGTTGACACGAAATTTCCTTCAAAACGCTGGAATCAACGTCATGGACTGGCCATCGAGGTCCCCTGACCTTAACCCAATAGAGCACGTTTGGGATGCACTTGGGAGAAGGCTTCGTGGTCTTAGGAACCAACCTCAGAATTTGCAGGAACTTGGCGCTGCCTTGCAAGAGCAATGGCGCAGAATCCCCAACCACGTGTTCACAAGCATCAGGCAGTCGATGAGGAGACGGTGTTTGGCAGTGGTGAATTCGCGGGGCGGCCATACACGATATTGAACTGAGAAATTTCGCATTTTTATTCTTGTGACTTGACATTCTGTATACCCATGTTTTGGAACGGCGGTGTAGCCTAATGGAACTGATTATGGCACAGTCAGTGTATCGAGTACATCACACAGATCTCAGCAATGAAATAATAACAATTTAACCATCTTACCATCTCTTGTTCTTTTATAGTGCCCTGAAAAAAGAATGTGAAGTTTCTTTTTTGACTCAGTATATATGTAGTCACATTGAATCATTAATACATTTGTTGAGACATTAAAGCCATGCCATAACACAAGAGAAATCCATTTTTCTGCACTGATGTAACAGAGAAACAAAGCAGTAACAAAGGTGTTTTAATTGTAACAATTCAGTAAAGAATGTATGGAGACTTCACATGGCATTTCACCTAATTACGTAACTACATCTAAATGTGAAATCTTTGTATTAATAATAATGATGTACCAGATATTTTTATGGATTAAACTTTTTTTTTATTTCCCTCACGACGTTTAATCTCTAAAAATATCTTGGACATGTATGTACAACTTCTAAATGCCACTGAAAGACAATAATGATGTAGTGTTGTATCCCGCTTGATTCCATACACTCGTGGGGCGGTGGGGTAGCCTAATGGTTAAAGCGTTGGCTCGTCACGCCGAAGACCCGGGTTCGATTCCCCACATGGGCACAATGTGTGAAGCCCATTTCTGGTGTCCCCCGCCGTGATGTTGCTGGAATATTGCTAAAAGCGGCGTAAACCCAAACTCAGTCAGTCAGTCAGTCAGTCAGTCAGTCAGTCCATACACTCGTGTATGCTCAAAGCGGCACATAGTGCAAAGGTCATAGTGTTCACGGAATAGGAAGGTCTTTTAAATATCTGAAAGAGAGATTATTATGTTTAGAGGCAGTGTGTTCCAGAGTCTTGGGGCATGTACACAGAATGACTTGTCACCAAAGCTTGTCAAGTTGTACTGAGGAATTGACAGAAGATGGGGTTGCCTGAGCGCAGTGAACCTTGGGACTGGTGCACGTGATTGAGTAGACAGGATAGATATGCTGGAGCCAATCCATGGTAGCACTTGTAAATCAGGCACAGAACTTTGAATTTCAGTCTGGCTTCTACAGGAAACCGGTGTAGTGATTGTAGAACTGGTGTAATGGGCGAGAATTTTGACACCATCCGTGCTGCAGTGTTCTGTACTTTCTGGAGCCTTTGTAGTAATGTTTTCTTTATTCCAAAGAGGAGGCTATTGGCATAGTCTAGCCGTGAAAGGACAAGGGATTGGACCAAGGTTTTTGTGGCGTCAGTGCTTGAGTTTTTCTCCCTGTCTGTCAGCGGGTTGTGTGGGTGTTGCCTTTATAGCTGTTTAAATACAATTTACGACAAGCATAAGTTCTAATTAGGGGTGGGTATTGCAGAGAATTTTCATATTGCGATATATTGCGATGCGAAAGCATATATTGCGATATGTATTGCAATATATTGCAAAAAGTTAATGCTTGATTTATAAAGCAAAAACACAACAAAATCACTATGCCTGATTAGGCTTTAATAAAAGAAATTAGTTTACCATTTTACGTACCGCGTTACTCTTATCAATAGTTCCATCTACCGTGAACTTTTTCAACCCAAAATGCTCGCATACTGAAGCTTTCCCCAGTATTTTGCACCACAATAAATATTGTTCGTTGTTGGGGGATCGAGATTTTACAACAAACGCATGACTTCCGGTGTGAAAAACGGAAATATCCGAAGATTTCCGAGTGTTACGAAGTTTTCCGAATGCATGTCAAAATACCGGTTTCCAATCAACGTATCGCAATACGTATCGTTTTCATGTCTGAACCGGTATATACCGGTAAAACGGTTATATTGCGCAGCCCTAGTTCTAACCCAGATCTTCATGGGTCAATTTTGGTATTGAAGGTAACTTGCAAGAGAGATTCGTTTATCCGGACAATATTTGAGAAAACCTAAATGTCCGCATAAAAGAGTTTTGACTGTTCACTTCATTGTACACATGCATTGTATATGTGCTTCATATACGCCCTAACCGTAAAGATCCAGGTTAGAATGAACCTTCAGTAACCCATGCTTGTCGTAAGAGGCGACTAACGGGATCGGATGATCAGGTTCGCTGACTTGGTTGACACATGGCATCGCTTCCAATTGCGCAGATCGATCACTGTTGATCACTCGATTGTTGGTCCAGACTCGATTATTTACAGACAGCCGCCATATAGCTGTAATATTGCTGAGTGCGGCGTAAAACTAAACTCACTCACTCACTCATACGCCCTTATATAATGTTTCCGGGTGAGGTTGGATAACGAGTTCGAGTAGTCACAGTGGGAAAGAGACAAAACAGATTCCTTGAAGCATTCATTAGAGTTAGTTCAACTATTCATCAATTCATCTGTTTCAAGTTACACGATTTATTTAATGCTATTTAGCAAGCTAAGGTTACGTTGGGAAATTAATGGTAGAGTGAGTGAGTGAGTGAGTAAGCGAGTGAGTTTACTTCAGTTTTACGCCGCACTCGGCAATTTTCCAGCTATATGACGGCTGTGTGTAAATAATCGAGCCTGGATCAGAGACTCCAGTGATCAACAGCATGAGCATCGATGTACGCAAATGGGATATATACGATGACATGTGTCAACCAAGTCAGCGAGCCTGACCACCCGATCCCGTTAGTCAGTGGTAATCAGAATAGGGTAATGTAGGCAATTTGGTGAGAAGAGAAGTTTGACAAGATAAGGTTTCTCTATTTTCTTTCGTAGTGTAAATCCTGTAACTTTCTGAAACAAAGCTACACCAGTTTTGCAAACATTGATCTTTTATGTTTTATGATTTTGAAGTGAGATATTGTTTAGAACATAATTTACGGGTTACCAAACAATTAATTTGTGCATTTTTGGATTTCCTTTGCTTGCTGCAATTGTATGCCATAAATGATAACGGGTTTATATTTTTGATACGAGGTGGTTCTCTTCCAAATCCTGTGAAAACATAAACGAAGGCCTGTCCCTTCTTTGTCAAAAGTGAAATAACATTTATGGGGTAAACACCTGTGTTATGACGGTCCAGCAACAAACTGATGAATATACATGACCTGTTAACAAACAAAAACACGTAGACTCGGTCACACAAATCACACGCAGTACCTTTAAATTGTGCTGAAAGCTGACAAACAAACATATGTAGAAGCATACATAACAAACAGAGGCGCGATTGCAATTAATGCGAAAAACAGAAAAAATATTGTAAAACCAAAATGTGAACATTACATGTAATGGTTTTTACATCATGACAATGTCACACATCGTATTGACCTGGACTATTGCACTTCATTTATCCACTCTGTCAGATTTGGCCTTCGGGGATACACTTTTCTTATTGCCTACAAAGGCTTGCTGTAGTTTGACAATGGGATGTTCAGAGGCACCTTAGGAAGTTTACCCCAGGTAGATCTGAGCTGAGCCAGTAGCTTGTCCTTGAAACGGTGGACGTAAATATCCCTAATCCTTTTCTTCCCATCTTTAGGCGTCTCGAAGTCCCTGTAATGGTGAAGGAGGGCATCAGTTTTCGGCACTTTGTCATGTGTGTATCCTGGACGGTACTTCCAAATTTGGTGTACACCAACAGTCTCCACTCGAGTGGGCAGGATGATCAACTTTGAACGAGTGAAGTATTCCAGATCAGAAAACTCTCTCAACACGTTCAACAGCAGGATAGATTTATATTTCACTGCGTCAGTCCTACCGGAAAAATTCTTCGAATATTCTGGCCATTCTTTCCTGAAAAAGATACACTTTATAATGAAAGCACCAGTTTTAGGTTTTACTGATAACCTTTTCTGAACCAGGGATGACCAGGTTCGACCTACTTTTGGAATTACAAATTCATCCAGATCCGTAAACACAATGTATTTCGAACTGTGCAAATGCCTATATAAGCAATCATTTAAAGCTGCAATTTGTGCAAAATAGTGCACTTCCACTCTTTCGTTTGGCGGCCACGTGTCTACCCGCACTGGAAGATGCCACTGCACAACTTCTACAGATCCTTCCGCAACATAGTGCTTGAGGATAGCGTCTACATTGGTGCCCGTACTGTAATTATAAAACATTAGCTTTTGGGCACCCATTAATTTGTTGAATTCGACCATTTCCAACAACTCGAAAGCTCGGCTATATTTGAAGTTGAGTGGGGTCACGCACACTGTAAACTTTGTTGACGTCTTCTTTGAATACATCACTGGAAGAAAGTTAAGTGGCTGCTTGCATGACTTTGATACTATGGAAACAGCATATGGGCGTCGGTTTTTTGGTATGGGACATTTGAGGTACACAGCTCGGTATCTGAAAATATAATAAAACAGTCTTCAGTACAGAGTGTGTAAGGCTGCAATACTGAGCCCATTTCTGGTGTTCCCCGCGGTGATAGTGGTGGAATATTGCTAAAAGCGGCGTAAAACTAAACTCACTCACTATACTCTCTGCAATGACGTAACTGTAACATGCCTTCCACAGAACAAGATGTTGTTTAATCTTCAAACTTGTTGAGTTTCTTGACAGAAAACCTTTTCTAGACGTATTCGTGGGATGGTTGTCTTCTAGATTTCCTAACTTTTAACCGTTGACGTTCCCACATATTGACAGGCTTTTGCCAAAGTGTGTTTCAACACTACACCGTCACTAGACACACGTCAGTCGTGAATGAACGATGTTCCGGCACACTGACATGATCAAATAACGTTTTAGCTGTTATTAAGTTCAGTAATATTGCATTTAAAAGATCATATTTATCATATTAACAAATGTTATTAAATTATTTCATAAACATATTTTTGTTGTATTTTAATGCAATTTTACGAGGTACATTTTTCCATCGCGTAGTTATGTTATTACCGCTGGAGAAGTTGGGTTTAATACGCGCATGAATACGAATCAGCTGTTTGAGGTCACAAGTCCTGTCTCCGGGTGGTTTTTATTTCGTGGTTCTTCTTAAATTACATTATGGGTAATAAATAGAATAACCAACGAGGTAAGAGTGATTACAGGAAATATGCCCTCGTTAACATAATGGTCAGTGCCTCGCCAAGGCTCGGCACTGTGAACATAATTTCAACTCGGGCATATTTCCCGTAATCACTCCTACCTCGTTGGTTATTCTCTAAATCAACATATCATAAACATATATATAGTCCAGACTCGATTATATACAGACTGCCGCCGTAGCTGGAATATTGCTGAGTGCGGCGTAAAACAACAAACAAACATGTTTTGACACATATCAACCATCACATGGTTTAAATCTGAACATCTAGACTTAGAATCAGTTGGCCCCTTGCAATAACCTGACTCTACTGTTGGTAGGCGATACAACTTAGTTCAGGCAGACATGGCCAAATTACACAAAGTGATGATAGAAGTAGGACTGTCTTAACTCCTATACTAGTCAAGTCAAAACATTGATGACACAACAGTTTTGTTTCCTGCTGACTGGGTTCCGTCCTATTGCGCAACTTAGTACAATAACCAGTCCAGAAGTTTGAGACCAGTTCATTCAACTGGATACATAAATATTAATCAGTATTATTTGATACATCTAACCACTTGTATATTGCAACACTACGCTCCTTCTAATCCTTGCAAGCACGTCGTGCAGCGTGCTCTGTCGTACAGCGTGCACTGACAAAGGAAATCGTGGAAATCTCAAAACGAGACTCTGCCGCTAGAAAAGTTTGGCGGTCTGGTACGGACTTGATATTATATCAATCACATTGTGCGTTACACAACTACACTGAATAAGCGCAAAGAACACATAACAGGTGCAACCAGTGAGCCAGATGAATTGTGAATCATTTTACGACCTCATCAAACAGAGGCAGTCTGTGACGTCTTAGTTAAGGTCATGCTGCCAACACCTCGCCATAAAATATAGAAATACGATGTTATTAAAGTTTGGAATTAAAATTAACTTGTAAATACCATTTTCTTATGAAACAAGAAATTGGAATTCAGTGTAACCATAGTTGTTTGTGGTGTCTCTTTTCACTTTCACACGAGAAAATTCGGATCGGCTAAAAAGTAGGTCATTGTCTGAATAGGTTAATGAGACTCATGTTTCGGTTTGTGTCATACAGACCCTAAAACAAACATATCCAAGAAAGCCAGAATATGTGAATATGTGGCAAGTCTAGAATATGTGGCAAGTCTAAATTACCAGAATTTCAGGAAATGAAAAAAGCCTTTTCATTGTATTCTATATATTTTTTTATTATGACCTGTTCTTTTTTCTGTAAATTACGTTCATTTCAGAATCTAGTTGTTAGTCAACTCCTATGGACACATGACCTCTCGTAGCCATACGATCGCGTTGTGAAATGGGTTCCATCAGAGACCATATAATAGTCTATTATATATGGTGTCAGGTTCCATGAGCCCAGTCAACCGTATGCAAATCACGTGTAGGTACACACGAGTGACGGGGAACGTAGTGCATACAAATATTGTCATTTTGACGACGAGGGACACCTTCTTGTCTTGATGAGGTAATTATTTCAATAGATGCCAGCTTTTTCATCACATACGTTTATTTGTTTCATTGTTTGTCTGTTTGTGCGCCCCAGTATTCAGCTATATCCCAGTCATATGTCGGTGTGCAAATAATCGAGTCTGGGCCAGGAAATCCAGTGATTGACATGATGAGCGTCTATCTACCTATTTGGGATACTATGAGATGCATGAACCTAGTCCGATCCTGCGAAGACCTGCTGCAGACCAATTCTAACACGGATCTTCACGGATGTATGGGTCGGTGGCTTAGAATAGCGGTTGAACTGGCGTGGCGTCAGTATACCGTAAAGTTCGTTGTCGAAGTCCACCGTTTGAAATTACTAAAATCATTCTGATTGTGACTACCTCACTAACTCACTCACTCACACTCACTGAGAGCAAGACAAAGGATCTAGTCGCCATAGAAGATATAAGGCACCACCCACCCATCCGAGGCCCGGTCAATACTTACTTTCTCTTATGACCCTCCTTTAGCATCTCCACATGTGCCTGAATTTCGTAAAGTTCCACGCGCTTGGAGTCTTTAAACCACAGTTGACACAGGAGGGACCCATATCTGTCAAATACAGACAGACCAAGAAGCCGAACAATAGGAGACGTTCCAGCGTCGTCGTAGAATGCTGAGAAAACATAAATGTTGTTACCGAGGCCCACCTCTTGCCATACCTGTGCATCCTTCACATCCGTGGGTCGTCGGATGAGGGGGCATAATGTTTGGTCTGGTGTTTGTCTTTCCTCATTTGTCCAGTAATTAGGCACGATTATGGCTTGTGCCCGTCTCTCAGTGACGTCAGGTCCTAATAGGTAAATATAGGTAAAAACAAGCACGATATTAACTACAAATAGCATGCACACACCGTTGGCAATACGTGACTTCATATTCGCTTAGTCTGAAGATTTCACCAACGGGTTAGCCTTTGTATAAACACCAGAACAAGTTAAACGTGCACCTGCATTTCAGGCTGGGGTGTGTCTGTGCAGCTCGTCTTTTTGGTGTCATAAAAGCGGCCAAATTATCTCCATTGGTTGACCGGCTGCACAAACTTGTCGATTTGAATCCTAGTATGAGTCTTGCGTCGTCACCACAAAACCCGAACAAGCAAATGAAAGAATGTGTCATATGAATAGTATGAACCTCCACCCACTTTCTTGAATGTTTGTAACGGCGTCGAATCCTTTGGTCAGTTTGACCTCTAACGGTGCAAGCATTTGGTGGCACAATCCATCCAATAGCCTTACATCTCACTCAGTCACATTATGCCTTTATGAATTATATTCAAACAGCATGTCACCCTGACTTGCTTTGTTCTGTTCACGGGTTTATCCAGGCTATACAAACAGGCTTTCAGGGTGTGAGGAGCTGTTTCTATGGTGGCCAAGACGGGATATCGTTTTCTGGCATTCTATTACGGCTATGATATACAAGTATCCTTTCTCGTCTCTCACTATCGCTTTCTCGTGTGTGTTATCGCCTTCTCAGGTTATCGCTTTCTCGTTTCGTATTATCGCTTTGTCGCGGCCATCATCGAAGTTGAGAAGGCGATGTCCCCTCCTTGACACCATAGTTTCAAACTACCGACATGCTTCAATAAGCAACTGATATATCTTACGGGCTTTTATTTCTTTGATTCATATGCAGTGTGATCTTATTGTGGGGACTTTTGTCCGCGTGGTGACATATTGGTGGAGTTATATTTCCGTGTTGGGCTACCATTGTCAGCAAAGTTGCCGAGCGACCACTCAACAAAGACAAGGCGGTTGTACAGCCAGCTCAGTATTATTCCAGCAAAATTGGATATGGGCAAAAGGCAAACAGTTGTTGATCGTTCAGCAGCGACTCATGCCGATCACGACACGCAACCACTCCCATTCCTGATCCACAGATCATTTGTTTGTTTGTTGCTTAACGTCGCACTTAGGTTACTCTTTTAATGGACATTTTTCGTTTTGGATATTTTGCATGAATGCACAGTGTTATTTAGAAAGTGGTCAGATGTAACATATGTTATATTTGGGATTACACTTTCTTAGTAAAGTACACATTCTAGTACTTTAGTTGGGTTGAGTCCCATCCGGAATTCGAGCCAACACCCTCAGTCAGGCACCTAATCTCAAGCCACCTCTGTTTCCAACGCGGTGGCTGAGCGGGTTAGGCGGCTGACTTTGTATGCTGGCGATTAGGTGGAAGCCAGGCTGTGGGTTCGAATCCCGGATGGGACTCAACCCTGCAAAAGTACTAGAATCTGTACTTTACTAAGAAAGTGCCATCCCAAATATAACATATGTTACGTGAATATTTTGCAATATAACATTACTTGTATGTTTATTAAAGGATGTATAAAATCGCTTTACACTTAACAGTACACGCCACCTGGACCCTCTCTTATGCCTTCATTGTACTGTAGTTATATATATTTTGTTCATATTTTGTGGAGATGTTTTGTAGGTTCTCCTTAACTTCTTTGAGTGGTGTGTTTGAAGCTGTTAAGTACAATATAGAAAAACTTATGGAAAGCAACTTCTTTATTTCGTGAGTGAATCGTTTCGATACAGATTCTTGTACTTGTAAAGCAGGAATGTAATATGAAGTGGAGGCGATTTATATATATATATATACTGGGCAGTAAGCTGATGACGCCAGAGAGTAGACAAAGGGAAGGGCGTCGAAGCCAGAGATGTACAAATAAAGGAGTAGTTTTAAAAGAAAATAGATGTTTATACAATATATTGGCTTGGTGGAGGAGTGCATCATAAGCGGATGGAATGAAATATCCTTGATGGTGTGCTTGTGACTTTGATGTGAATAGCTTCGGTGAGTTTGCCCGTCTGGTTGTTGGCACGAATGGTGATGTCAGCCCAGTTTATATGGTGACTAGGGTTAGATTGGATGTGATCGGAGATGGGTGATTTGCTGTCGGAATAGATAACGGAAGTATGATGTTCCGTTCTCTCGGGTTTTGACGGGTTGGGATTTTTCGCCTATGTAGCTCTGTCCACAATCAGAGTTTATTTTGTAAATGACACATTTCGGGTTGATGTGTACATAGATGGTTGGTGTGTTTTTTTAGCATGGTGAAGGTTGTTGAGGCTGGAGGATAAAGATGAGGTGGTATCTATGCTAGTCTGTCCCACAGTCCCTGAACTACATTATTTTCTCCAATGCCTAGCCTTCCCTGCAATGCTAACCCGGGTCTTCGGCGTGACGAGCGAACGTTTTAATACTAGGCTACCCCACCGCCCCTATACTAATCACAAGCATACGGAATATAAGTGTTAACTGGACACCAGGGCCAAAGCTATCTTCTCAGCTTTGACCTACATTAAACAGCAGAATCATTCCAAAAACTTCATCGTTTTCACAGATTCATTATCTTGCCTTCAAGCACTTTAAAATGTTACTTCAAGTCACCCAATCATTCTGGACATTTTAGAACTTTACAACGACCTTTCTACTGGCCAATGTGACATCGTCCTCTGCTGGTTACCGGGTCACGTTGGCATAGCAGGTAACACAAAAGCCGATGCTGCAGCTAAAGCAGCTCTTGACAAGCCCTTATCTCCACTGCTGATCCCGTACAGTGATTTGAATCCCACTATCAAAAGCTATACTCGGGACCTCATGCAAAAAGGTGGGAACACTCAAGTTGGAAGAAATAAACTGTATGAATCGAAGCCAACAATTGGTTATACCTACTTGGGTTGTCAGTCAAGACGTGATGAGGTAATTTTACGACGATGTCGTATTGGCCACAGTCGGTTTACACATGACTATCTGCTGAAAACGGATGGGGATGGACCCCCATGTGTGTCTCTTGCGATGAGGTTTCCACCATCAAGCATATTCTGCTTGACTGTGTGGACTTATCGTCTGCAAGGGACTCACATTATAATGCAACAAATCTGAAAGATCTGTTCTCCCGCGTGAGCACTCATCTGATAGTGAACTACCTGAGGGAAGTTGATCTGTATCATAAATTGTAACTGTGTAGTGTGTAATGTGACTAACTGTGTAGTGTGTAAAATTGCCTGCTTTTAAATTTAGTGCTATGACTTTTTCTGTTTTTAAATGACAATGTAATGAATATATGTTTTTGAAATAAAACTCATTTTGACTCTGTACTTACAATGTTTATTAATGTAGACTTGTTCTCTGAGAGTGTGAGTTCGATACCGGATGGGACTCAACCCAACAGAAGTACTAAAGTACTGTGTGAAATAGAAAAAAAATGTTTTTAGGCTGTTACTCTGTATCCCTAAAACTGACAAATTTACAAATAGCATATATCGAAATAACCCACATCGGTCTAACTGGGCATTCAGTGGGATGCGTAATAGTATATCCCGAAAAGCATGTTTAGTCGTAAAATCGGGCAAAACTTAGAAAAAATACGAATAGCTGCTTAAAACAATAGGTCGGACTATAGATGGCAATTAGGTCGCTCAGTCAGGTATAACGACGGACCGTCGACTCACCTGGCATGCAATGCACGTCCTGCCTTCAAGCACAAGGGGTCATCTCAAAGATAGTTTATGCTTTTTCATGTGTGTTGAATATATCTCATCTATTGATCACAAAGTTTATGTCGAGATACGTAAAAAGGTATGATACCCATGGAAAAGCTTAAATCAGCTATCGTATTAAATGTCTCAAAATATATAGGTAGCATGACCACCCGAAGATCGACAGGACTGTATATTATTTGTAAATTGTTATGACATGCCGTTTGCTTCGCAGTTTAATTCCCCTAAAGGATTATCTTTTATCAGCTTATATCTCTATCCCCCAGCCCGACCCCAACCACCGTCTGCGACACCCGTCCTGGAATTGCTTTTGAGACGACCCCTCCTACCTGTTTCTTTTTATAGTGATAGTGAGACTCCATGGCAGCTGCATCATTCATAGTTTCAGTATTAAAGTTATTATATTTTACGTCAGCTATCGTTTATAATGAAGCTCAAAATGGACATTTATAAACGCACACTAATTTGAAAGTAAGATTATTTATGGATAACAACTTCTTTTATTATATATGATGCGACGTTTCGGTATGGATTCTTATACCGATGTCAAGCGAGAGTTGTCATTCTTGCTTGACAACGGTATAAGAATCGATACCGAATTCGGAACGTCGCATCATATATAATAAAAGAAGTTGTTATCCATAAAGAATCTTATTTTCTTATTAGTCACCAACTTCTAAATGCCAATCAAACAGAGTACACTAATTTGCATAAAGCCATGGCCTGTTCCAAATAAATCGCTTTGGACTTAGAACAAAACCGCATTTCCCATTTCTGCACTAACCTCTCCTCAGTAAAGTCCTTTTTCTACGTTTCTATCTCCCTACCACTGAGACTGTAGTTAGGCCGAACTGAGTTTAACAGATATTTCACACTTACACATATTAACTACATAAATTGTAGATAGCAATGCGAAAAAACAGGTTTTTTCTATTTCCGACCGTACTTTAGAATCTGTACTTTACTGAGAAAGTGTAATCGCAAATTATAACAATGGGTTGCATTTTAAAACAGATAGTTGCTGGGATTTTGCGTATTCGTAGAATGCTGGTAGTGTTTAGTGTATCTGTGTGTTTGTTGTTCAGCAATATTCCAGTTATTGCCACTAGTTAACTGCCTCCTAAAACAAGCATGGGTTCGTGAAATCCAATTCTAACACATATTTTCACTGGTCCAATTGTGGTAGTGATTCGGAAATCAAGAAAATAGTTTTTGTCCGGATCATATTTGAGAAAACGCAAGTGTCCGCAAAAGTCTTGGTGTTATTAAAGATATAATTCCTTATTCCCTTTAAATCCTTTCATCATATCCGGAGACGACATGTACATTCATTTGCCTTCGGTGCGGACTTTTCGGGTTCGAATCCCACTGGAAACACGTTCGCCAGATTGTTCAATCACACGACGGAAATGATCAGTTCCGTCTTTATACATGGGTTTAACTGACACCTCAGCATAAGCTGTAAGGGAATTCATTCTCATAAAGAACGGAATCTGTGATATCAAACTTATAATAGCATGCTTGTAATGCTCTGTTTTCCATGTACAACATGCTCAAAGCGCAAGACATACATGTACAGACTATAGGAGAGAATAAAAGATTAGAGAGATACATGGAAACAATGCAATGAATTATCGTTTACACTCATAAGCCAATCTGAAAAAGTGAGTCTTTAGTAAAGATTTAAAATTAGAAAGTTCTGTACAGTCACGTAG